AGGAGATTCTATCAGCCTAGAAAATCAACAATTAAACTGCTGGTTGTAATCTGGCTTGGCTTTGGATATACATAACTGTCCCAGCTATAACATAAACCATTTTTTTTGTTGCAAGTTTTTACTCTAGGTTTTAAGCTGCTCTTTGAGGTCAAGAAAACTATTTTATCTGCAATAGCTTAGTTATATAAGATTTCTGAAGGGAATTGATTGTCAAAAAAGAAAAAAGGTTGTTTATTCTGTATATTTTATTTTTATCTCTGGCATAGTTAGTTTTTAGTGACATTAGCAGTGTCATTATACACATTGAATGTTTTCTAGTTTGCAAATTACAAGGGAAGTCAGCTCAATTTTGAAAAATTATCAAAGGTTTGAAAAATTCTTTAATTTCAAGTCTTTTTTTTTTTTAACTTTGTATGATTATATCTCAAGAAACACATCAGAACAAGAACCTTTTTTTTTTTCCTTTTTAATATTCTTCACTTTTGTATTATTACTATCTTCAAAATATCAATATAAAATATTTATCTACATTTGATTATCATTACATTTTTAATAATTTAATCATTATTCCAAAGAATATTGTTTGTAGAAACATCTCCTTTTATCAAAACTAATTCCATAGTCTATAATGAAAAAAAAATCATTATTTTAAATGAGATATTTATTTTTTAACATAATCTCATTCCTTGTTAATGTATTTAATTTGGTGAATATGAATCAAATACATAAACTTTTTTTATCAAAATTCAGCTAATAACTACATGTCAGGCTGTAAATTTATTGATGTCTGTTCATATACCATAATCTTAAAAGAAATTAGTTTTTAGGCCATTTAAGTCATCTGATTACAATAATCCGAATTTATTTCGGTTTACTTCTTTCCTCTTGTATTATCACCTCTTCACATTGATATCCTTGGAAAAAAAGGCAATCCATTTATCCTTGGTACTGTTCCATTACTTGATACCATGACAGAATATCTTGTCATTGTCATGCGATAATGCTTGGTAAACCAGTCTTTTATCTTACCAATAAAAAACAAGCTTTTCCTATAAGCAATGTTTTAACTTGAACAGCATATTCCTGCAATTAAATGACTGAGTATTATCCAATTGAACCTGTAGTACTAGTTTAGTTGTACAACACTACAATATTCTTGGATCTAATCCAGGGTAGCAGTCTAACATTTTTCACCATTATCTTGAAAAAAAAAAAAATTAAAACTGTCTCAAAATAATTCTCACATTGATACTAATATGATATACTTCAATATACAAATAATGATTCTTTTAAACTTGTATGTTTTTGTTAATATGAAAAAAGGAAGAAAAAGTATCAAGTAAATTTAAAATACTAAATGCAATATGCCCTCCACCTCAGGAGGACTAAAGAATACATTAGTCAAGTATTAGAAAGCAACATTTACATGAATATATATTAATTCATTAAATATATGTATTTGAAGAATTAATATATATTCATATATAAATATTTATTTCAAATATACATTGGAGTTATAGTTTAATATACTGTTTTTCAAATTTCTTTTTTTTTTTTTTTTCTCTCTCTCTCTCTCTCTCAATGATCTGACATCAAATGAAATAGAAACATGTTATAGAAAAACTGCTAATATCTGATTTTTGTATGAGTAATTTCTGATGCAGACTTCCCCCTGCTCAAGTTACTGAAGTATTTGACAATATATAAATTGTTATATTATCAGCATTACAATTCCTTAAGCAAAAAAAAAAAAATGTACCTTCTATATTTCTTTTTGTGTATGGTCAGTGTTGGTTCTATTTTTAGAAATCTTTGTTGCATTATGTCAAATAGTCTAGTCAATATGTTATTGCTATCATCTCATCTGTAAATACAAACCTTTTTTTTTTCTTCCATCCATTCAAAGAAAATCAATCAGAACGTTTTGAATTATTTTCCCCATTTTTGGAAATATATTGATGTAGTGGCATTCAAACATTTTTGAGATGGTTTATTTTGAGAATAGTAATATATATATATATATATATATATAACTTTTTTTTTTCTTTTTTTAACACTATTCTGATCGTTGTTTTCCCTTTTTTGTAACACCTACTCCCTTTTCTAGTTTTGTATAATAAAAATGTTTGGTTCAGTACATTATTAGTCTTGTTCTGTTTATAATCAGATCTTTGTTTTGCTATCTTAATTTCAGTGAGTTACAAAATTAAATCACAACAACAGAATATTCAATAAAATCATTAATGAATTAGTGGTAATTAGGTAATTTGTCAATATATTCAAGAAGATTCATCAAATATGTGTGTTTGAAGAATTAATATACATTCATATATAAATATTTATACTAAAGTGATTTAACTCTACCCAAGTTAGATTTTAATGTCAGAATATTAGAGGCTTTTTTCTTAGCCAACTCCCATAATTTTATAGAAAGATGTTTTTTCTTTTTTTTAAAAAAAACAAACAAAAAAAACCCCAAAATGCTGGTTCTCTTTGTTAATCCCTAATCACCTGAATCATGGTGATGGGGAGCTAACAAACTTATCAGTGCATTTTATTGATCTAGACCCTAACTAAAAAGATTTACAAGACTGTTTTGATGAAAGGTTGAAATATTTTTATTCTTTAAGGTTAAATTGCTATTAAAATTTTATCCCTAAACCAACATAACAAAGGGGGAAAATGAAAATGTAACTTAATCTTCATTTTCCTTTCTTTTTAGTCTTCTGTACTTTAAAATTTTGGGATATTAACTTTTGGTAGGACTAATGAAAATGACCTAGAAAGTTATGTATATTTAGTATGAAAAGAATTTTGAAATATTGTTCTATAGCTTTAACATTAAAACATTTTCATAAATTTTCACATTGTTCCATTTCTGATTGGACAATAACCCAAAAGGCAAACAATATTGTAAATGAGTTTATTATCCAAAAAATATTAATGTTTCTAAAGTTGCAGTATTATTTCTTATAGCCTTTATTCATTGTAAGTGTTAAAGTGTATTCTTGCAAAATTTAATGCTACTAAGTTTATAACTTATTAAATTTATGTATGTTTAACTTGTTTTACTGGATATAAATTAAATGGAAATGGAAGTGTATAAATATATCAAAGTATAGGTTTCAAAACTTAAACCCTTATTCTGTAGCAGAAATGAAAGGCAGTATGAACTGCTGGCTACCTTCAATGAGGCTGCCTGTCCCTATCGATCAAAAAGACAATACTTAGTGTGTTGCGTATGCAGGAGAGGATGGCTGGTGTGAACCTGATTACTGATGTTTCTGGACTCAATATAAACAGACATTGTCTGTCTTATCATTCCATGACTTGCCAGTATTACTAGTGTATGGAACATTGTGATTTGGATTTCCTGTTTGTCGTTGGTTTCTGTGTCCTGGTTATGTTTGACCTTCGTTTGTGCTATTCCTGTGTTGGAATTCTTCATCACCCTCTGCTGTGGATGTGTCTCTGGTTTTGTTTTGCTTTGTTTTGTTGGTCGCCATTGCTGCTGTTTGTTCAGTCCCTACTCATTTGTATTCTGGCAGCAGAAAAACAAGCCTTCATCTTCATATTTGAATTTATTAGATAACAAGCTTAAAAGCTGCCCTATCCAGTGGCATTTGAGCTATCTCCTGCAGAGGGCTCTTGATTTGGCTTTCATTGCAAAAGCTAGATAGGAATAGATGCGATAGGCAACAACAATAAACTACAGAAGAACTCAAAATTGATCACTGCATTTAAGTATTGCATTAATATTTAAGCTTACCTTGTAAAAGTTCAATGATAATTTTTCTGCTGCCACTTAAAGACAATTTGATGTACATAGGTCCTTACTTTCTGTACAAACAATTATTTTTATTTCATGGGTGACTTTTACATAATTTTGCAATTAATTTTGATTATTTCTAAACTTATTTCCAAGTTATAAAAATTGTTATCTCACAAAAAAATCATGAAAAAAAAAAAAAATCACCAAAAACAATTGCAGTAATGAAAACTTGAGAATCCAAAGTTTCAGGATTGTGGATCCAGGTCCACCCCTTAATATTTTTAATTTGCTCAAGGAAGTTGGCCGGATTCCAAAATGGTATATGTTGGGCTATGGCCTCTAGGAGTAAACTTGAAAACATGGACAGTTTTATTTTGAAACATTGTAACTTGAGAAAAGTAATTTTTTCATTTCAACATGATCTATTGAAAGTTAGAAATTTAATTGTTTTTATCAGTAGAAGCCAATATGGTGGAATCTGAAAACAATTGCAATAATGAAATCTTGGGAATCTAAAATTTCAGGATAGTGGGTCTGGATCTGTCCAGGAATGTTTTTAATTTACTCACAGTCAGTTGAAAAAATGTGACACACTGACATTCGCATTTATTATATAGAAGCATTGGTCTGAATGCTTTAAATGATAGAAATAATATGAAAGAAATACTTGTCAAGAGTCTCTAGTGCTTTTTGCTTTGTAATATGTTTCAAGCAATATATTTAACCTTTCTTATCTATCTGTGATGGAAACCTGATGAAATTTTATGAGACAAGTGAAGTGTGGCTGACAAAAATGACAAATCTGATATCTACTATATTACAAGTATTTTTTTCACTATTAAAAGTGGTCATGGAAGCAACATATTCAAAGTGACAATAATTTACACCCTTATCATTTTTTTTCAGTGTTAGAGAAAATAAATATTACACAAAAATACATAACTTTTTTTTTTTAAAAAACTTAAAATGGAGTTGTAGTAATTTGTAGTTTCACTAAAGGTGAAAGTTTTAAAACCAGTTCCTTTCATTGGTAACTTTTTTTTTTGCATGTCAATGAAGAGTTTGAATTAAACTGAAAGAAAATGGTAAGTTTCCTTGAAAAAATTTAAATCATTTCATTACAATTTTAAGTCTAATTTTTTCTTTACTTTTACTTTAAACAATATTATTTATTTTTAAATTATTCAATTTTTCAGGGGCAACCCTTACTGCTGAGGAGATAGTAGAAATGCTGCAAAAGTCACGTGTAAGTTTGTACTTGCTCATTTAAATTTTTTTATTTTCTCTTACTAATCAAGCATATTTCAGATAAATATGTATATATAATATTTATATATAAACAAAAATATATATATATATATATATATATATATATATATATATATATATATATATAACAAATATTATAATATCAGGTCATCCCATAAGTTCTGTCTGAATTTTGAATAAAGAAAACAAGTGACCAAATGTTACATTTAATTACAGATTCAATCAACAATGTATTTTCCCTGATTATCTATGACTTCCTTCCATCTGTTAACAAACTTACTAATTCTATTACTGTAAAATTCTTTTGGCTTTGATTCAAAGAACTCACAAATGTCAGTTTTAACCTCTTCCTGTGTTACAAAAGCTGTTTCTTCCAAATGATTCTGTAAGCTACTTAAACAAATGGTAGTCTGAAGGAGCAAGATCGGGGAGAATAAGGTGGATGAGGAATTTTCTCCCAACCAAGTTCTTGATCTTTTGTGACGTGATTCTTGCTGTGTGAGGTCGTGCATTGTCCTGATGAAACATCACCCCTTTTCGATTCACTAGAGCAGGTCTTTTTTTTTCCTCAAAGCTTGGTTCAAACGCTCTAATTGCTGACAGTAGATTTGAGCATTAATTGTTGCATTAGGTGGTAAGAATTCAAAGTGGATTATTCCTTGGCGATCCCACCAGATTGAAAGAAGAACATTTTGCCCATGAAGTTCCCTTCTTGGCTCTGGCTGGGGTCCTTCTCTTTTACCAAGCCACTGTCTACGACGCTTAACATTTTGATAACAGATCCATTTTTCATCGCCAGTCACAAGTCTATCCCAAAAAGGTGAAACAAGTTGGCAAGAATGGAGAGAAGAGCAGATGTCAACTCAGGATTTGAGGTTGTTTTCAGACAATTCATGAGGCACCCATTTTCCAAGTTTAGGAACTTTTCCAAGTTGTTGATGATGACGAACAGTTGTATGGTTTGAACTGAGAACCACTGCCAATTCCTCAACTGATAAAGCAAGATTTTCTTCAAGGGCTGCTTCAAGAATCTTTTCATCAAGCTCAGCTGGACGTCTGGTTCGATCTTCATCTTCAAGGGTGAAATCTCCACCTCTGAATTTTGCAAACCATTTTCTGCAAGTTCTTTCATTCACACATTCCTCTCCATAAACTGAGTGAATGTTTCTAGCCGCTTCGGCTGCTGAGTTTCCTTTCTTGAACTCATAAAACATTATGTGCCTCAAATGATTCTTGGGTACTTCCATGTTAGCAGGGTTTTAATCAAACAAAATTTTATTTTATTGTTCTCTGAAATAAAATTTGATCAGTTTAAATGCATCTAAACATAAAACTAATGTTCAGCTCCATTAGACATTAAAAAATACTCTTTAAATTTCGTTCATTTTAAAAAAAGTTAAAATTTGGACAGAACTTATGGGATGACCTGATATTTATATGTAAACAAAATATTTACATGCAAACAAATGTTAAAACGTTAAGAGTTAAAATTTACTAAATGAAATAAAAAGTAAAGTTGAATATTTGGATTCTTGTCATTCCTTGAGCATATACTTTTGCAATATATTATTTCATAATGAATTTCACTATTTGTAAATTTTTGAGCTATTTGTAAGATAAGTGGATTAACTTGTGCTATTAGTCAGAAGAAAATAAATTCAAAATTTAATAGTGTTTTCAAATGTAGCCCAATTGAATAATCTTGGTCCACTTCTATGTTGAATTTTATTTGAAGTGGCAGTAGTCTTTGATTCTAAATTTTATTTTTATTACCCTTCTGCAGGAAAAGGTTTGACCATGGTTGATAGGGATTTTAAGCCTGGTATTCCATGTGACAGGTGGAAAATATTACCTTTATATATTTTTTTTTTTTTTTTTTTTCAACTATAAAATAATGAGTGCTTCATCTCTCAGGACTCCTAAGACAACTTAAAAATTGTATGTTTCTTAATCATTTAACATTTTACTAATAATTCATAAGAACTAAATCTATTTTCAAAGTGGATATTTGCTAAAATTAACTTTTTTGCCTTTATTTTTGTAAGAATTATTTAATATTATCTTAGAAGTAATGTATAAACAAGTGTTTGTTAATCAGATTATATGGATTCACTAGGACTATTTTGTATATAGCAAAATTATTTAACTGTTGCTTAAAGGAGAAATCATTTCCAAGTTTGTGGAAGGTGTCAAGTGTATACCCAGTTTTCAAGAATGTAGGTGAGTGCTCATACCCATCACAGTATAGACCTATCAGTCTCCTCAGTGTCATTAGTAAACTCTTTGAAAATATAATCAATAAGAAGGTTGTTGATCACAGCCATAGGTACAACATCTTGTGTGACAAACAGTACACATTTCGATCAGCCCAGTCCACTGCTGATATCCTGAGATTACTCACAGAATTAGTGATGCACTTGACAACAAATACATCTTAAGGATGATCGCATTAGATATTTCAAAGACCTTTGACAAAGTGTGGCATAAAGGATTATTGCACAAGCTCTCTAGTTAGGGAATCACTAGAAGAGTCTTCTCATTTATAAAGTCCTTCCTAATGGGTAGATCCCTGATGGTTGTTAACAGGCAGTCCTTCAAGTCTCAATCAACATAGGTGTCCCTTAAGGTTTGCTTCTCGGTTCATCTTTAGTTCTGCTTTACATAAATGATCTGCCTAAGTATACTTTGATCATTTGTGAACATCTATGCTGATAATACAACAGTGTATAATAATTTTGGAAAAAAAAAATTGAATCATGTATATTTTGAAAGATTTTTTGCACTTTTTTATTCATTTATTTTTCTTTAAACATTTCAGTTAATGTAAAGATTTAATGAAAAACATCATCTTTGTTCACAGCCATTTCCAGTTGATACTCTGCAAGGCTGGACGCTGTATTCTTTTGAGAATGGCACAAGAATTTGGTGGCATAATTTTTCCATTTCTGGTACCACCATTACTGTATTTGCTTCTTTTGGAGGCGTGTCTGTGCCAACAATGGTAAGTTAAAAAATATTCCACTTATATTTAACTTTATTTTAAAAAGTTAAAATTTTAATGAACTTTTTGGGGACTCAAACTACTAATTTTTACTCTGAAATGCAATTAATATTTTTATCCCTTTGTAACTGAAGATTTGTTTCAACAAGTTTTGACACTCAGTATGTGCATTGTATATTAATTATCAGAAAAATATTTCTATGGTCAGAAATTAAGGCAGCCATATATCTAAGAAACTAGGCCTTAATCTGTATACTAATTAATCTTGTTAAAGTAAACTTTGAATCTTAGACTTTGAGTCAGGAAGTGCAAAAGAAATGGTTGACTGGGAAGCATTTCTCATTGTCCATTTTCCAAATGCACTAAATGAAGGATTAGAACATTTTCTAATATGTTCAACCCTATTTGGCTGATTAAGCTTCATTTTACAATGACCTATGTTGGTAAACTTTTTTTATGTTTCATTTTGCATTAAGTTAGGATGCCATTATGGAATGAGGCTTTAAAATTTTATTCTAAAAAGAAAATACCTGGTAACTCTTTACAGACATTTAAAGAAAAATCACCTTTCTGCATTCTTGTAGATGCAATGCAGAGGAATAGTCAAACATAAACTTTCTGTAAAAATTGTTTTTAATGACTATTTTCACACTTCATAGTTTTTAAGTTGTACTAGAATAAGGTTTTAGTGATATGTAAACCAGTTAATGTACTGAACATTTATCAATTATTTTGAATTGAAAAAAATCTCAAACTCTGTAACATTTTTATATATATATATATATATATATATATAAGTATAGGTCCTGTGAAAAATGATGGGATTCTTTACAAATGGATTTGCACTAGGATCATTGTAGTATTTATACTAAAAAGTATTACACACTCATTGTATTTTACATAATTCAGTTATATCAATAAGTGCTTAGCCTAGTGATGTGAATATTAATCACATATTTCAAACAATATAGTGAAATATTTCATATCAAAACTTAATGCATAATTATTTACCAGCCTATGAATTATTGATCTTCCCTCACATGGTCTGTATTACCATTTTATGGGGAATTTCAGTGTCTATTTTGTCTATATTTGGGTTTTGTTTTTATTTTAATTTCAGGCTGTATTTCAAGTTTTAAAGGACATTAGCCACACATGGAGCTGGAAACCAGGAGTGATGTCCACATCATACATTCTGCGAAGTACAAGCAAGCAGAAAGCTGACCCACGTTCTTCTCCATCTCTGTCTTCCAGTGCTCACTCTTCCAAGTCGTCCAATTATGATGTGATAGCTGAAGAACACCTAAAACAGGTGGTAGACAAGTCCAAATCTCACAGATTGCCTTGCCAACCACAGATCACAGACACAGTGACTGTGACTTTACACAGGTAGGTTTATCATAATCAATAAGGTTCATTTATGTGGTAATTGTCAGTACATAGAAAAAAGCATGAAAGGACATTGTAATATTGCAAGTTTTGATAGTCATAACACCAATGGAATATATGAGGTCAGTCTATAAATTATCTAGCTAATTAACTAATGAAAAAATAACATTACTTGCACAGTAATCCTCTTTTAACTATACACCTTCAGACCTCGCACTCTTATCCCAATACACCTTCCACTTCTCAAAACAATCAGCAAAGTCTTTTTCATGAATGTCATATTCTTTGTATTCTCTGTAATCTTTCTGTGATCTGAAATCCCCCTTCCTTTCAGTAGCAATTTTTAGTTTTGGGAAAAGCCAGAAGTTAATCAAATTTGGACTATGATGGTAGGGAGATTAACAAACCTAAGGGTGAGAGGTGATCTTCTACATTCTGGGGGGAGACCTGCAGAAAATTTTGCTGATCAAATTTGTCATTGTAAATATGATGACCACATGGTATGCAAGCTCATTCAATGGCTGATTGTATTCATGCATGTGCAATAAAGCCTCCTCTGATTGGTTGCTATGTTACATTAACTGGTCTTTGACATTTAAAATGACTGGATACATTCCGGAGAGATATAGTACACAAGGGTGGTTTTCGCAATGTCTAGTGGTTTTAATAAAAACAAAAATACAATGTAAATTACTATTCTGTATTTGAATCTATTCTTGAGAAGAGGAAAAAATTCAATCAAATTTTTATTTTTTTTTAAATATAAAATCATCTACAGTTTTTTGCTGGAAACTTTTGCACACAGGTAATATTCAGGGAATTTTTTATGTCAGAATATTTTAATAAAATATTTGTCAATTATGCGAAAATGAAATAATACTCAGGTTATCTGGATTGGTTGGCAATTTCGTCAAGTTACAATTCAATTTTATTATTGACAGCCCCCTTTTCTTTGGATTAAATGGAAAGAAAAGATCACAAGATTTGAGATTTCTTTATTTGAAATTGTTTGATAACTACCAACTGTACAAAAAGGCAAGTGTGACTGTTGTTATAAATCTTTATTATTTATGTATATGGTTTCTGACTAAATTACATCAACAAATGTGTACTTAGTTGATAAAAATATTTGGGATTTTATTGGGAAATGAATGTATAAGCCGACTAATAAACAACATTTATACCTACATGGAATTCCAAACTAAACCCTTTATTTAATCTGCAGCAGTAGACTCTTCTCCTTCCAGTGCTCACATCTAGGGATATCGTCTAGTTCTTATTTTATTTAGTACTGTTCAGTAATTGCTTGCCCATTTCCACTGAGTTCAAGTACATACTGACTGACCCAGAGATTGAACTCACAACAACTGTCACCAAATTCACAAATCAATGTTTTTACCAATTAGGCCATTGTCTTGTAAGACAATTGCTGGACTAACTTAGTTTTAAGCCTAACCTTCAGTGCTGATTAGGCTGCCACTAATGTGGTTGATGGCTGTCGATATGTGTCTAGGTCACCACTTACAATTTTCATCCAGGCATCCAATGACCACTTTCTTCACACTGTGCAAGTGGTAGGAATTGAAATTGAGGTATTGTCTGGTGGAGGTTAGCTTGTGATATATGGATATTTTGAACCCATTCTCTGTGCAAGTTATTAGTACGTTCAGGAAGGCTAGATGATTATTATTTTCTTTTTCCCTTGTGAACTGGATTGAAGGTTTTGAGTTCACATGTCCCAGCAGTATTTGTACAGCTTCCTGGTGTGGCCATCGTGGGAGGGGGTGTGCTTGTTATCTGTTAGGATCTCCTGACCTTTTGGACCCCAGCATCATCTCCTTTATGCGGTGTGTCCTCCTCTGGTATAGGGACACTCAGGGTACTCGTATTTTGTTCCACAGCAGGGGACTCAGAGGTTAACTCTGCTTCCGGGCAGTGCGCTAAATCATGAACAGATACAGTAGATGTTCTTCTATCTGGATACTTTATGTTGGCATAAGTCGGATTACTTTTTAAGAGTTTAACTTGGTCCACATAAGGGTTGGTTTTACTATTTCTTACAAACCTCCTTGATAATATGAGACCTGGTGACATTAGCCAGGATAGGAATGATGAACGATGAGGGAATGCAAAGAAATGCTTGTGAGGGGTTGTATATGTAAAATTACATAGCAACGATCTTACAGAGTGTAGCACTTCAGGAAGCACAAATTCCCAGTATTTCTCAGCTATGTTTCATGATCTAAAAGGTAAATGAATCACTTTCCATATAGTGCTGTTAAATCGTTCAACCTGTGTGTTCCCGGGTGGATGATATGGAGTGGTTTAACTTGTTTCAATCCCCTTTTCGGGAAAGGTAGTCTCTCAATTCCTTAGACATGAAAGACACACCTCCTGTCAGAATGTATATAGCCGGGCATCCTGGTTAAGCTGAACAAAAGATTTTAGGGTTTGATTACTGAGTTAGTGTGCATGTTTGGAAGACGAATGAAAACCGTGAGTATTTGTTAATTACTACCAGTAAATATATGATGCTTGTGGCAGAAGGCACAATCCCTTAAAGTCGATATTTAGTCATTCCATGGGTCTGGTCACCCTGATAAGTGTTTTCTGGCAAGTTATAAAAACAAAGTTTAATTTTTGCACAGATTCTGCAAGAAGCATATACCTTCTTTACCTCCTCCATAGAAAAAGGAAGATTTTTCCCTCTAACAAAATGTAAGAGTCTAGTAACTCCTGGGTGGGATAACCGATTGTGAATGTTGGTAAGGTCAGAACTGGTAATGGTTGAACAAGCGTAAGCTTGACTAAGTGCATTGGTAACTATGTTCTCCTTAACAGGGTGGTATTTTATCATGTAATTGAAGGCTGAAAGTTCTAACCGCCATTCTTGAATCTTGGCATTCTTAATTTTAGTATGCTTTTTGTTGTTAAACACGAAAGCCACCGAACTCTGGTCAACTGTTGCAGCCATTTGTGCTTCTGGAGCAGTATGTCATTCTTTCTTTGTGCTAGGTCCCATGCAGATGCTTGTGTGTAAGCTGTTTATTTATATCCCTACACACAAGCCACCAACCTGCCACTGTGTGGCTTGCCACTAGTGTTTACCATTGTTGGACCACTGGCGTATGTGTCTCAGCATTGTTACCACTGGCAGACTGCTAGAGGCCCACTGGTGTTGCCATTGGTAGCCCGTCAGCAGGCCACTAGCAGCTTGCATGTAAGGATATTATATATTCAGTGATCATTTTCACTGTTAGGGAAATATGTAGCTACCTCAGGCATCACAACAGATAAAACTGTTAGATATTGGAATAATTATTTTTTGACTTTTCAGCACTTACAGAAAAACATTATCTAGCATGAATAAGCAGAAAATGTTTTAACAAACTTGGGCCAGACAGTGATAAAAAATTTCAAAATTTCTAATTTTGATTCAGACATTATTGATTGTATCAATTTTTGGTTGCAATTTCCTATCTTTTTAGAAAGAAAGATTTTAACATGAAAATCTTTTCCATTACAGGTATTGGGATTGTGATAGTGGAGGAGGGTGGCTGTTAGAATCAAATGAAAAAACGGGTGATTGGACAGTTTACATTGTTCAACCAATCAAAGGTAAGTTTTAGTTGGAATAGCCAAAATATGGAATTACTGTATTTTGATGGATTATGATACACTACTCTGTTTACATTTAATATTAAGATATTATGGAGACAGGCTCATAAGCAAGTTTATGACATCTGAGTAAACATTAGTTTACCATACACCTTAACTTTGCATTTAAAACATAGGTAGTATTTTTGAGGTAATTTTTTCCTTCTTAATTGCTTGTGGTGTAACAGAAACTTAATGTACAGTGTTGTCCCAAATTTTTCATTATCTCCTGTTGACCATTTATGATCTATTTATGTAACCTGTGATATCAAAACTGTCATTCATTCTAAAGTGACAGAGCAAATACTAAAAGCATAGAAATGCTAAAATTTCATAGTACATGAGGCATGTGAGAACTGAGGTAGCAAATATAATTATTAAAATGTTCAATGTTTTATTATTGTTACTGCTGGAAAACAAGCAAAATACTCTAAGATATATCTGGAGATTAGAAGAGGTACATTTCTGCATTGCCTTAATGAAAGATCATATGATTTTAACAAGTGAACTCTTGCAATTTTGGACCTAAATTTTGAGAGATCAGTATGTTGTGCATTGAAAATAAGAAATATTTTCATGGGACATAATAAGTTTGTAGCTTGACACTTAACTAAATTTGGATCTGAAATCGTCAATGTAGAATGTTGGATCTACGTAACAAATGATTGGGTTAAGATCATTGTTAAAGAAATTGTTTAAAAATATTTCTGTAAAATAAATGCTTTTCAATCATTAGGCTACTTAGTGACTCATATAAAAGTCATTGTATTTCAAATAATTTTGTTCATAGAACTGCATTGGAAATAAAACAATTTTAGTAAGATGCAAAACGGAACATTTTACACATATTCAATAAATGTTCAATGGCCTTATTATTTAAAAAAAACTCCAGCGTTTTGCAGAATAGTGCTTATCAGGGTTAGTCTGTTAAATCTATTGAATATGAGACATCATATTGATACTCCACAAAACAAATACTAATTCTAGATCTCAAATTTGAAGCATGTACTCTGCTAGAGTCCATTAAAAATGTGACAAGATTTAAATATTTAGAAGCATTCAAAATGTTAGTGATGTACATGTATAAATTTCTTTTATTATTCACCAATAATCACATGATTTTGAAAATAGAAATATTTAAACCATCATAATATTCAAACTTACCAATTTGTTTCTTTTAAATTACTTAGTTAATAATATAATCAGTTTATTTTATATTATTGACTCATCAAATATCTAACCTATTCTATACTAAAATTGTTACTATATTTTCCTATACTTATTTTATAAAACTGTAAATATGAAACATTTGTACTTGTGATATAAAGGTACTGATTTAAATTATTATTTTAAATTAAATTATATGCACATACTTTTTATTTTATTTTTACTTTTTGCATTTTTGAATGCTAATTGCAAAATTCAAATTTATTGTATGGTAAAACACATGACAATGCTTAAATTTTGAAAGGCTACATTTAATTATTGCATTTAAAAATTTTTTTTATATATATATATTCATTATAGATTTTATTTGTTTTAAAAATATTTAGACATTTGCAAACAGACATAAAATATAGTCTAGTGTGTATTTCAAATTTGAAATCTATACTTGGCATTTGTTTTGTGGAGTACAAATATGATAATAGATTTATCAGATCATTTGACTCTGATGAGTGGTATTCTGCAAAACACTGGAGTCTGTCAAATGAGAAGTCCATTGACCAGTTTTGAGATATATATATATATATATAAGAGAGAGGGGGGGAAAGATATGAGACAAAGTGAAAATCTTTTACAGACCGTATTTCAACTATGCATGCTACATAGGCATCTTCAGGATGGAATGAAAGACAAAACTATAAGGAAACTGTGTTGGTATTTTCTGAGGAAAGGGTAAATTTATTGCACCCTATCAGATTTGGCTAACATTGTCTGATTTTAAATTAGCCTACTCTGAGTAGATCAGTTTTATTCCTTTATTAGCTTGAATAATGCCAAAAATGCCTGGCTGGCCTGTTGATCTCATGAAAAATACGTAATTTTAAGGATGATAAAAACCAATCAATTTCTAAAAGAGAAATAGGGTTACTGCATAGAAATAAATTATTAGGACATTAATGACAGGAAAACTAATTTGAATGTTGTATCTGACATACTCTGTAAATGAGAAGCTTGCAAAGTGAAAAGTATATTTCCTGTTTTTTATAAAAATAAATGTATGTAAGACACATCTAAGCTGTTTATATTTTTGTAGCCTACAGTAAGTATTGTCACCAAGTTTCAAATCCGTACATGCAATATCCTTGGCATTATGAATGTCAATTTCATTGAAAGCCTTATTTAGTAAAATACAAAAAATGAAGTGAAATTCAAAGATGCTCTGATTTTAAAACTATTAAAGATCCAAATCTAATATTTGGGATTTATCAAGTAACTCCTCTCTGAGAAGGTCACTTGTAGCCATTGGTTGATTAGAGATGCAAGTATTTAAGAAGAGTCAACAGGATGGCTGGAATGGAACAGCAAGGAACCTAGGCAAGATGGAAGCAAGCAGTGGAAGACAAAAGTGGAACTCTGGAAAGCTGAGCCCTATTCAAATAAGATTCTTAATCCATGTCATCTCTTATATTCTACCAAACCCATTCAAAAAATTAAGCTGAAGGAAAGAAGTAGGAGTTTTCAGTTTACCCACTAAACCTGAATAGAGGAACTTGAGCACACCCTCAGCTGCTGTCTGAAACCCCTAGGAAAATATTAACACAAAGAAAGTCATTTGAATAATGATCTTAGTTTTATGTAAATCACAAATTTATAAACTATAATAAAAAATATTTTTTATATTTTTAATGTTCAACAACTGAAGTTTCAAGTTCTGCCAGTAAATTTTTGCTTCTAAATATTTTGTTGAGGGGAAGCAACCTTTTCATTCAGATTATTCAAGTTATGACCAATCTCTTTATAACTAAATATATCTTGTTTTTTATCCTAGGAAGTTAAAAGGTATGGGAATAACTTAATTTTTTAATGGATATATTAAGTAGTACTAGGAATTGATTGAGGTGGAGAACAAAACTCTTCTCATGGAAATCAATGTTATTATGCTTTTGTCAAAACTGTTAAGACAGTTAGACTCTTGTAATATAGAATCTGAATCAAAATCGGTTTTAAAATATTTTAAGTTAAACCTTTTAAAAGTCATATATTAAGAGTAGTATTTGCAACCCTGTGTTAAATGATGCTAAATCAACAAGTGTACAGGACAAGCAGTAAAACATCAAATTTCTTCATTGTTACTCATAAGAGTTATTTCCAAAGAGTTTAATGGTTTATTATTGAATAGGGATGTAAGTGTCTAACTTGATTGATAATGTGATAGTTGTTATTACCGTCAGATAACTACGAAATGATTGTCAATGAATGTTGTCCTAAATCACTTTGACTTGGGAGAATTTGTACAATCATCCATTTTATCTTTATTGCTAAATTGTTTTTTCCTCTAGAAGATCTTCACAAATGAAAAAGAAATTCTCTCTGGTTTGTGAACAGGTTTGGAAAAAGCAGCAAAAACACTGATTGTGCATGTATTATATTTAACTTGTAAGTCTGTAGCCTAATGATGAAAAAAAATATTTTAAACATATTTTTCAACATAATTTCATCTTTTAACAATGCACTTAATTCAGTACTAAATCACATTGATTAAACATGCAGTAAAAATTTCAGATCAAAATTCAGCTAATGGCTGTTAGGCTACAGACTTGTTCCATCCTTGTGTGTTTGTGCGCGTATATAATATATATATATATATATATATAATATATATATATATATATATATAATACTTTTCACAAGATTGCCCATCAAGTCATTGGGAAGAGAAGACATTATGTTTATTGTATAATGTCTATTGTACTAAAGCCTAACCTTTTCCATTTGTAGAAAGTAGATTGCATGAGCATGTTTTCTAAACTACTTCTTTTTTTGTTTCTGTTATGTTATCTTTAAAGCAATTCATTGTTATAAAAATTATTAGTCAAAGGACATTTTTTTATTTACCTCTTTCTTGCCCAAATATGTTGGCTTAAGGATATTGTCCATGTACTTATGAAGGGGAAATGATAGTAATTATTTTTGTTGCCCCACTTACTACTAAGATCTTGTTGACCTGAAGATACTCAACTTTGCTTAGTATATTAATATAGAGTGTAAGAAGATAGTGTTGTGCCAATCTTCTAAATGGAGAGAGCATATCTACTTTGATTTTTTTTTAAGTTTGTATTGATCACTGATAAGAAAACAAGTATTTTAGACATCAGTCCATACTGACATGAAAATATGCTTAGTCAAAATTTTTAATTTTATACAAGATTATAGTATTCAGAATTGAAGTTCATAATTCATAACATGTTTCACCTCCATCTGTTAGGCATCTTCAGGTTGGAATGAGACACAAACTTTGTGTGTAGGAAAGTGCATTGGAATTTTTGAGGAAAGGGTAATAAATAATCTTATCAGTATGGCCGGAATTCTTTTAATTACTGAAGCCATGAACATCTGCTGGATTTTAAATTAGCCCACTCTGAGTTGATCTGTTTTTTTTTTTGTTTTTTTTTTAATTTTTTTTTTATATATATATTAGTTTGTATACTGTATTGTACTACTATTGCTTTTGCAATGATTGATGGTATTGTATATGCGAAAGATCTGAGGTTGAGAATTGTGAGGTCAGTGCATCTTAGTGCATTCTTTTTTTCTTTTAATCAGACTGGCATTAGGTTGCAATTGTAAGCTTTTTTGTGTGTTTAATCTATTGCTATGCAATAGATCCCTGTAATGCTCATATAGTCCTTTTTTTTTTAGACCTAGATGTTTTGTTGATGTATATCATTTCTGACTGTGGTATCTGATAAGGTTATTTATTACTCCTTCCTCAAAAATTTCAATGCTCTTTCCTTACACATATGGCTAGTTTCTCATTCCGACCTGAAGACACCTACCAAATGGAGGTGAAATGCTTTGTCCACAAAAGCTGTTCCACTTTGTCTCATTATCTCTATGCACACATATGTTCATGTATATGCAGTTTCTTGTTTTAAGTAGTTTTTAAACTAATAGGATTATATAAAGAATAAAAAAAAAATTGATAGTTTTTATTTGTGTCAAGATATCAAATAAGTTTATTTATGGCAATAGAAGTTAGAAAGACTGCATTGCTTGCCTGCTTCAAAAAAAATTTTTTTTATTTTAAGCTTAAAAAAACCATTGTGATATAAATTTGAAAAAAAGCAAACTTATGCGACATTTACTATATTGGTTTGTCAACTGTTGATGACTTAAATAGGTATAAAAATATCAAAATTCTCAATAGATAATAATTTTTTAAAATGCAAAAACAAATTAAAACTTTGGATAATTTTGAAAACCAGTAATAATTAAAATCAACCTATGGGAGCATGGTGGTTATTGAATTAGAATTTGGTTTAATTGATCTGGTTAAATTCTTCTTATAGCAAGGATTTTGAATCTGATGGTAGAAATAGTTGCTGTTTTCGTGTGATTGATATGTATTTGTTTAATTTAATATAGTAGAGAGGAGATGGTTGTGCCACTATTTTAAATGGTATGGGCATATCTTGAAAATTAGCATTTGAAATATTGACTTTGCCAGTGGTTGGTGTTCAAGCACAAACAAAAGTTAGGAAAAAAAAACTATGCCAAGCAGGTTAATATAAACCTATTATTTATTTTTGATTTTAATATTCTACTTCTTGTGTTTTCTGATGATAGTTTGAGGTATTTTTTGATAAATAGATATATAGTTATTTATATCAATACTCAGCTTGTAGAATGATGAATTGGAATATTGTTTTAGTTCAAAGGAAGCATAAACAGTTTAAATATAGAAAATTGATTTCCCTACAACACAACAGAATAATTGTCAGGATTCAATGTGAGTGTATGCAAGTAGCCAGATGTAAAAGTCGTCATTTGCTTTACTCTGAGAAATATTTGCAAATATCATTTTCAAAAATGAGTATGATTGTGCTAAGCCTTTAAGGAATTGAATACTGGGTTATAAGCAGAACCAATATATTATACTACTAATTTTTGAGATGAGGAATTATACTTTATTTGAACTATTGTTCTACTTTTTGCGTGTTTTTAGATTTTATTATAGATTTAATATTTTGGCTGTATAACCTCTGCCATTCCCCAGTTTTTTGACTGACAGAGGATAACTTGTAGGAGTAAAAAAAATTCTTTTTCATGAGGACTGATTGAGAAACTACACAAACATGACAAAAAAAACATGATCAACTAATACAAGTTATCCTATCTCAACCAAAAAATTCACCAGAGGCTACACTGCTGAATTTTTGCAAATCTCTAACAACCAAAATGAGAACAGTAGTTTGACTAAATCAAAGTATTGAGTAGGACTAGTTGGCTTTACTTTAGCATAAATGCAACTAGAGAGCAAATTAGCAAATAATTAAAATTAATTATTTTTTAATATTTTTGTGCCTATATCTATCTTTTCAAATAATATCAGAAAAGTGAAATTTTGTAAATATATATATCTTTCTCGTCTGCACTTAATTTTTTAAGCTAAATACCAATAATGTTTTGTTATAAATCCTTACAGATAACTTGGATAGTAACTGACTGTATTGTAAGTAGTCTTTTGTACATAATTTATCTTGGTCGATCATTATTCTCATGATGTATCTAGCCATGCAGAATACATAACTTGTACAGAAATTTGTCTGTGAATGTTTTTAAAATGGAAAGGTTATTGCACAGAGATGATTCTATTCTCTTGAGCTCTAAGACTTCACAACTAGCAGCCGTTTTGGTTTTGGGACTGGCTAGAATGTAGGAAAAGTTTATTGTGTATTGGTCAGTCGGGTGTAATATGACATTCCAACCAAACCATCCCAATTTCTGTTAGCTCTACAAAGAGACAAGTGATCAGGTTTTGTCCTGATTGAAGATGTCAACCTTTTAATTGGCCAACTTGATGCTTTTCACATATAGCTGCTTTTTAATAGATCCACTTGAGAACAGTATTTGTCTAAATTTCATGTCTGATTTTGAAGGAGCTCATAATAGACTTCTAATTCCACCAAATGCACAGCATCACCTGCAGGTGCAGATTGGCTTTTGGAATGGTTTACAGTGGCTCATTTCATTTTCCATAGGACCCTTTTGCTGTACATTATTGTAAACAATACATTTTTCATTGCCCGTGATTGTTCTGTTGCAAAGTATTTTATTTTTGCTGTACAAATAATCACAGATGGAAATCCATTAATTTTTTTATTTTCTTGTTAAATCATGAGGCACTCAAATATTGATTTACATATCCAAGTGTTTTGAAATACTTTATAATGCCCATATGAGTAATGTGGAGTTGTAAACATACTCTATGGCCCTTTTTGTTTGGCACAGCACAATCTGCTTTTCAGCTGATTTCCTTTGTTCCATCTATTATGAGTGATGTTTTGGAGAACAGATTCATATTATTGGTATGCACATATGTGATCTAAACGCTACAAAAGAATAATGGCAAATTAACCATTTCCACCCTGGAAATGTTCTGTATTCATTGGCCAAATATTTTGTGTCGTTCCTGGTTGAAATTCGTGAAATCTTTTTTTGACTGGTATTTTTTGTCTAGTCAAAAATTAATAGCAACAACTGTACTTCAACTAAGAAATTTGATCTTCAAGTTATTATGTATATTAAATGTAAATGAGCAACAAAAATAACTGTAAGAAAAACTTATATAAAAATTAACAACAATATTTCATCTAAGAAGTTAAAAATTTCTTTAATAATTGGAACTTTCATGACCAGAAAGAATGGCTAAGAGCGTAGGAACTATTACAAATTTCATTAAGGAACCCCTTTCTTTATATTTTACCTTTATGAAAACAATTGCAGATTTATTTATTTTTATTTATTAACCCCAGAGCTGGCTTTATTAAAGATGTAGTTATATATCAACATAAACATTATCCACCTCTTGAGACACATTTAAATGTTTGGCAAATCTTTCCCTATCCATGTACCCAGCAGTTAGTCTAATTAGAAAATGTACATCATGGATATCATATCTTTATTTGCTGTTCTCTTCTAACTTTAATTGTAAACTAGTTATTTGACTCATGTACTGTGTAATTATTAACTGAAATTTGATGCCCTTGATATCTTTCTAATTTTTTTTTTTTTATTTATTTATTTTTTAAAGGATTAGTATCACAAGGGTCAAATGGTACTTGGTGTCACATGACTTGCGTAGTTGTCAGTGTACCAAAGACTTTTATTAATATACTTTATAAATAAAAAAAAAATTAGTTGTTATAGCAATAATCTATATTCCTCCTTTCAGCATCCAAGCAAAGTGATGTAACACACTTCCATTCACCTCACGTCCGCTACCATCATTCAGCTCCTTGCAAGTATTCTTTCTGGGATAACTATATTTTTATCCTCCTCCTCCTCCTCCGAACATTACTACCACCATAACTAATGCTACTATTACTACTACTATTACTGTATTTACTAAACCAAGTCACCATCACTACTATAACTTTAATTATTAGCATAATTGCTATTACTATTAGTATTTTTATTAGTAATGCATGTTACTACTGTGTTTCTTTGTGGGTGTATATCTCTTTTTTTATGGTTTTTATTTCTTTTAGTTTATTTAAATTCTTATTTTGAAATCAGCAAGTTAAAGGATTAGGATCAGGTCTGATGGAACTTTTTTCCTTAAAATTTTTATCCAGAATAATGTAAAAATTTTTTTTTTTTTTTTTTTTTTCACATCCTACTTCTTTCTCCAATCTTACACTCTACAATGATTTTTTTTTTTGTTTCTCTCTCTCTCCTGGTTCTGCATGTTATTGTGATTTGGTGTTTGGCCTGCAAAATTGGTTGTAATTTCATTCATCTGGGAAAAGATGCAGGTAAGAAAGGGCAGCTATTCATACTAGTGTTGTTTTCTAATAAAATTATTTTTCTAATATTTGAGGTTTTGAATTAAATAAACTGTTAGGTAAACAAAAGAACCCTCTAAAATTCAGCACATCAGGGAGAAAATATATATAATATAGCAATGTGCCAAAAATCATTGGTTAGTTTGTATTTTACATACTTAACATTTTTATTTAATATTTTACAATGGGAGTAATGGGAAACATACCTGTCTCATTTATGCTAGTAAAGGCAAAAGCAGAAAGGGAACAGTGTAATGAAATGGTTGATAAATATTGACTTGAACCATGTGTAATGAATATAGAGAAAAATAGCTTCTATGGTGCACAGTAAATGCCAAATAATAACCAACAATTGATTTGAAGAACATTCAAAATGTTTGTGGTCTTGGGTAAGCCAGAAGCCACCACACACTAAACTATTTAATCATCAATAAATGATTTAAAAATGTGATTTTGAATTTTTAAATATAGTAAAGTACTTACTCTTTGAAGGAGTGATCATTTCCATGTTAAATGCAAATTAAAGATAAGAATTATAATTATAAAAGATTTGTTGTCTGATGTAGTTTATATGGAAGGATTTAAATGTGACTGTTTGACTGCTTAGCCTCACCTCTTTTTCTATCAGACAGTTCTTTATAGGCACACAAAAAAACCCTGCAAACTTGTCTTAAAGCCGTGAGCCCTTTCACGTCTTTCTGAAATAGTACTACAGTAATTGTATCACTGTCAGGGTTATTTTTGAATCTGGGAACACTAAAGAACCATCCCCCATGAATTAAGGGTAAATTCTTCTATGCTTATTGACATTACATGTGCACTATTGTTTCCATCTTTGTTGTCACCACAATGTTTAGGTTGTTGTCTGCCAGCCCTCATCAAGTGTATATCGATTCAGATAACCTACAGGGAATTCTGAACTGAACCTGTTATTTAATCTATGAGGGTCAACTGTTCTTATTCCACTGCGCATGTCTAAGAATATCATATCTAGTTAAGCTTCTATGCTTTATTCTTTTCCATGTTATGAGGGATTTCAAAGGAACACTTTACTTTTTGATAGCATTGGAAATCTGTATTTTTGAAAGAAAAAGAATGCTGCTGCTTATAGCTGTTATTAAGCTTCCATTGAAAAAAAATACACCTCTTATTAACTTGTTATACTTTGGTTTCTCTGAAGAAAATTCATCCAACTATCAATACTATTTTTAATCGGCCACTTTAAAATGTTTTTCACTGTTATAATTAAACAAAATCTACTTTAGATAATACAATGTTTTCAGATCATTGTCTTTAAATAACACACACACATATATATATATATATATGTCCTATTGACAGAGTTAATATTATGTGACTTACCTTGTCAGCCAAAATGCTGTGTTGCATGCTTGTGTGTATATATATATATATATATATATATATATATATATATAGCTTCTCCACTGGATGAGGCTGTTATTAAAGGTTAGTAAACATACAAATTTGTTTCACTTCTGTCCAACCATGTGTGTCAAGTAAACTGCTTCAAAAACTTTTTTGTTCTTTTACACCAAAGATGTGATTTACTTTTGCATGTTGTGAATTAGTTCAGTGAACCTTATAGCTTTCTGAAACCTTCTGTTCACACATATTTCTGAAATTGTAAATACAATTATTCTTTGCCATCTTCTATAGTTAGAAAAAGCATTTCAGGTTCATTTTTAATGGTTCATTGTCATTTCAAGAGTTTTTAGGATTATTGACTGGGTTGGTCTAAATAAATGTCTATTAAATGCATTGCTGTGTTGGTATAGTCAATTTTGTTTGTACTACAGAACTAAGATTCCTTCCCTCTTTCATATGGATTGTACACCTGAAGAAGGCTGTAGAATGGATAGACTGAAATGTTGTTGTTACCAAAGCCAGCTAAAGTAGTCAGTACAATTCTTGTAATATTCTCAGATTCAAATTGGGAATTCAGTTGGGCCTGTGCCAAACTTAAATTATGAAATTAATTTTACAAAGCATTAAATACTATAATATTGCTTCCAACATAGTTTCATTTGTCTTCTGGTTAAAAAAAAAAGAAAATATGCCTTTGATTAACCAATGATAGGTGTTTTTCAGCAATTTTTAGTGCAGTGCTCCCAGCTAATGATACTACTTCTCTGTGCTGTTTTGTCTTGATTTAGCACTTCATGATAGCTGACACCCATCAAATGCCACTAAACACAGAGAATAATGTTTTTGTATATAGTACTGGTTTAGGGATATATTTTATGATTGAATTGGCAAAACCATCATTGGCATGTCCAGATACAGCTTTATTTTCATAGACAGAGACACTACTACTTCCATTGTTGATGAGTCCTTTTTGAAATCACACCACAATGTCTGTAATAGGCTTGATGTAAATCCATTTATCAATAGCTGAATTCCTAATTCAAATCAGTAAGAATATTATAAGCTTTGTGCTGATTACTTTAGTGGGCTTTGGGAACCACGACTTTTCATTCAATCCATTCTACAGCCTTCTTCAGCTAAAGGGTAGAATAGCTACAAAATTTACGGAATTTTTTTTTTCTCGGATTAATTTAATCGATGTAAAAAATTACTTTCTTTACAAACTAATATTTGTGTGTGTGCATTTTCAAAAGTTTTAAGTGTTCTTTATTTAAAAAAAAGAAGAAATTTCTACTATGTACTTAGCCTGATTTTGAAAAAGCACTCAGGGAACTTTGTTCATTTAATTTTTTATTTAATTTATTTTTTCAATACAAAGATTCTCTCTTTTTAGATGCACTCCCAAATGTTTCTTATTGATATCAATCTGTATGTTTAGATGTTCACTGAATGACCAAGATTTTCTTATTTGGTTTGGCTGATGGAAACTTATCATCCACTCCCACTTAGCTGTTGCGATTGGTTTGTTCATTATTTGGTCAATTTGCTATTAGTCTGTCATTGTTAAAATTTATCATTTAAGCTTTTTTTCCAAATATATTTTTTCTAGTTTTTTTTTTTGGACTTTTTTATTTAATTTATTAATATTAAGCAAAATTTATTTTTCTATGATTTTATACATATTCTTAAACTTGAAGAATAAAAGAAAAACAAACTAAATGGCATCATTGGAAAATAGGTGTTTGTGCAGAGGACAATCAAAAAGGTATTGCTCTTTTTGCACTTTCCCCCCAATAAATAATGGAAATTGATCAATCTAAATAAATTCTGAAGATTAAAATACTTTAAATGCTATTTTAAACTAAATCAATTGTTTTACTGTTAAAAACTTTAACTCTAAAATTCTTTATTTACCATGAAAATGAGGTGAGTGAGTTAGGTAAATTTTTAAATACCAAAACCCTTATTTTAATATAACAATGTAATGTGGTGTGGGATAAGGTGTTTTTATAGCAAAAATTTAGAATGTTTTCAAAAATATGAATTGGGCTAGTTTAAAACACCAAAATCTTGTATTTATTTAAACTAGCAGCATTTTGAGGATTTAACTTTCAAAATTTGTTTATATTGATAAATTTTAAAAATATTGAGGCACCACAAAAGAGTAAAGCTGTAAGTGTATCATGAAATGTACTAAAGTTCCCTATCCCATCAAAAAATACCTTTCTAAAATTTGATGTATAAAATAGACTGACAAATACAGTAATTACTTGTGCTGTTTGTCATATTAATGTTTTTAATATTAATATACTTGTACCATTGTGGTTAATATCAGGTTTATCATTTATAATCATGTTTTGGCTGTACCATGAGATGCTTGAAATGGTTTTTCATCACATCTGAGTAAAGAAAGTTAAAACCATGTGTTGTGTTACAAAGCAGGGACTGTGGCTTTTTTTTTTTTTTTTACACACATGCACATTACACCAAATAAGTTAGAACAAATTATAGAGAAAAACAGATATTCAATCGAAAAAAAAAAAATCAGTATATTTTCAAAAAATTCCTTTGTACACATTTTCAGTTTAGAAAAGATTATTCAATAAAAGTGGTCTCATCCTTGATATAACCTCAGAAGTGACTGCATGCTTGAATCATGTAATTCTCCTTTATGTTGGCCATCCTATCCACAATGGTAATATTCAGAGTCCTTGATATTGTGGGACCACTGGTTGGTCTCTTTCTTGACTATGTTCTAGATATAGTAGTTTATGTTATTCAATCAGAATCACTAGGAGGTTCTACGTTGGATGTGACATGAATATAAAAATCTCATACAGCCACTCTGGGCCATGTGGGAGTATAGTCCTAATGGAATATTTTTGTTAGGTTCATATAGGTCTACTTGTCATTTCTTCTGTTTATCTAGCCACTTTCAAGACACTGGTTGTCTCTGAGTTTCTATGTCTGGTGGCTAGTGTCATGAGTACAATGTGTCTTTGCATTACTTGTGTCACATTGGGAGCTCTTTTCTTAATGCATTTGATATAAAATATGGTACATACTGTATAACATTAGGTCATCTCACATGGCTTTCTAAAGGAGTGTTTTCATATACCTGGTGTATGTTATATATATTAGTTATACCTTAAAGTATTTGACTTCTTGATTCTTTTCCTTAGTTTTTATGATTACTCATTCTGAATTAGATAACATTCAATTAGTGAATATAAAAGAAATAATTTATTTCTACATGTAGCAATAAATTTGTCTCTAAAGGTTCAACTCCAGTGTAAAATTTGTAAATAATTTAGGCCAAAACAACTGCTAAAATTATACTAAATACAAGTTGTAATGCTCAACATCACTTTTCTCTTGAAAAATCTTTTATCTTAGGCTATTCAGCTTAAACTTGGTTGGTTATTCATCTTCCTATAAGACAATAACCTGAGATGCTTAAAAAATCACCTCTGAATAGTTTAGGGTAATAGAATCGCCTTCTCAATTGCCTGACCTAAATCTGTTCAAACATTTGTGGCATGAAGTGAAAAATTTTGTTCGTAAACAGAAAAGAAATCATCCAAACTTTGATAATAGCTTGTTATAGCTGAAAGTACTTGGAGCTTGGACAATTTATATTTAAATTTTCATTGGAAAATAGTCCAAAATATTGTGTATAGAGAAATCCTTAACAAAGAATTTTTGTTGATGTTTTGTGTACACACACACATATGTGTGTGTATATATATATATATATATATATATATATATAATTAGCATAAAGCAAATCTTTTGCCTAGTCAAGTATAATGAGCATATTAAACAAAAGTAATTGGATAAATTCATGCCATGAAAATATGTGGCCATTTGCAAAACGATATAATTAGGAATGTATAACTTAGGCTGTTTTTCATTGTTTTAGTTTTAACAATGAAAATAAAACAGCCTTTATGACATATTAAATATCCTGAAGTACATTCCTGAATGACTTTTGTCTGAAATATCTGTTCAGATTCTATACATGGTAGCCAGCCAGTCAATTGAATCTTAAACCTCACCCCTCCATCAACTCTTCTTTCTGCACAGTGCACTTACACTCACCTGTGATTATTTTTACATTCGCCAATTCATTAATTTTAGTTTAGTCAATAAATTAGTCAATTACTTTTTGAATCAACATATTCAGATGTTCATATATAGAAATATTTTAAAATATAGCAGTTATGTTAAATAGAAGTCTCTAGGTTATTGAAAAAATTCAAACATTGCATTGCACATAGCCTTATTTACTATGACTTTGTATATTGTTACTTCATTTGATAATTGTTAATGTTAAAAGAAGTTGAAAGTGTAAATACTTTAATGTGTATCTGGTAAAATGATGTTTTGTGCTGTTGTTAAAATTGTATGAGATCATAGCATAAAACTTTTGTCCAACCATTTTCCAAGCTCTTGTTAAAGTTTATGTTCATAGATGATCTAGTTAGTGGCCAACCTTGATAACTCAAAGACCTTTATGTAGTCTGAGATGTCAAAACATTAAAAAAAAATTATTACATCTATGTTCTTATCTTATGAAAAACCTCAATATGATATTACTGTTTAATATATTTGCTTGATATTAATTTAGCTGTGTGAACAGTTTTAACATACTTTTCAACACAAAGCATAAACAAAATTATATAAATTATTTTGACTGGATCTATTCAAAAAGCATCCAGCCATTCATAATATCTGAAGAATTGGTTGCCCAGCCTTGTTATAACCTGTTATACAGTCGGCAGTTATATACCATTGAATGAATTTGGATATTGTATGACTGTTAGATTCACAAGTTGATTCATGTCTTTGACAAGACATCGCATTACCTACTTGTCAGTTTTGCTACAGTTCAGATTTAGTTTCTCTGACTTTTAACTTTTCCCAAAGATAAAATAGCTGATGGCAATCCTGAAAGGATTTTACAGGCTGTTTTGGATAGTAGAAAGTATGCTGATATAAGAGGCCCAAAGAATACTACAGTACTTTTACCCTAAATAGTTTATTTTTCTGTTAATATTAAATGGTTGAATACTTTCTGGATGAAACTTATACATATTGTAATAAAATAGTTTCATACAAATGTACCAATGTATTATAAAACAAGACATATCATGTCTAGTGTTATTAGAACATAAAATTCAATTCATTGATTCCCTTAGGAAATAAAGAAATCCACCTCTTGCACTTTATACATTTACAAGATATCTTAACAAAACATTATGGAATAAATGGTGCCATATCTGATTTCAAGTGAAGTTGTAACAATTTCTCTTTGGTCATTTAAAAATCCTGTATTCTGTTATCCTGATTTTGTACACTTTTTGTTAATTAGTTCTGAATGGACAATATTAGATGATTGTTGTTTTCAATTGGTCTAATTGGGTGCAGTAATTGTTCAAATCAGTCATTTGGTTCTTTGGAAGGTGTTCAAAGCATTGGACTCTCTCTTAATAATAACACTATATATACAGCATAACTTTCTTTGGATAAATACCTGTCTTTGTTTCAGTTAATGTTCGTTTATTTTACTTGCTCTGATTTTTTTGCATTCAATGTTATTTTAAACATTAATTGTTCATCAGTTGTCATTTTCATTAAAAAATGAAAAAAATGTGGTTAAGTAGATTAGTTTTACTTTTTTGTTATATAGAAGCCACACATTGTGTTTAAAATAACCAATTTCCAGTGCTTGATTTGGATATTTTGTATTATGACATTTTACTCAAGTGATGTCTTGATTTGATCACAATCACCTTCAACTGGTCAAGCCAGTCTTGAAGCATCATTCAGCATGAAAATTTACAAACACTTTCATCTTTCACAGTATCTTCTCTGCGAATTGTATAAATTATTCTTTGCAGTTGAATTGCATCTTTTACTTTTCTCAAAACAAAGCATATTTTCTCATTTTCAGTATGACAATTGATAAACAAAAATATAAATTTTAATAAATCTTTTCTTAATGCATGTTGATATAATATTTTAATAAAAAATGATCTTTTAAACTGAGTTAAATCTAAATGCTCGTAATGCTATCTAATGATAAAAAATACATTTTTGGTGGCCAGTTACCTGAAACTAAGATCTCTCTCTTCTCTCACTTTCCCTCAAATGCACTTTTTAGTGTTGAGCCCAGATAGAAAAACAATTTTTCTTTTCTCAAAACCTGGTAGATTCTCCCCATTTTGAAACTTTGAAACTTTCTATAACCAATTTCCCACTATTTGCTTTTGTACTGGACTAAACGGATCTTCTAAAATAGACATCCATTTAACATTAATATTTTTTTCTCTTAAAGACTTTCTAAGACAAATTGGTGACTGGAACATTCTTCAAAAATATAAAACCATTGTATTATGACAATATCTGAACAATTCTAATGTATTTGTGTGTTGCAGTTTTGGTATATTATTTTCGGTCATTGATTTAATTTACACCCTTAGCTCCACCCCCACCCAATAATTAATTTAAAGCAAACTATTGTAATGATAAAATAAACTTTAAACTGCACTTTTGGAGGCTAACTGTGAATGATTCCATTGCTTGGCTTCTTAATAATTTGCCTAAAAAATTAAATAAATGCTTTAAAACTAATCTTGCATTTTTTTTTTTTTTTTTTTTTAATAAATATAGAAAAAGAATGAAATCTCAAATAACTCTGTTGTTTATTCCTCCAGATTTGTTATGGGATATAGGGCCACAATCACACTGATGATTTACTGTGTTTTTAGTAGCAAGAGTGAAATTTTTAACTCCATGTCCAACCCACCCAGTTTTAAATTATGTTTTCCCTTTAGGTTGTTTGCCATTCAAAGCTTAGAGTGTGCTTTCCTGTTTTACTGATTGTTGAGATGGATTCATGCTTTTTCTACGGACATTAATGAAAAGTGAATACAAACTACTTCATCCAGAACATTTGTTCACTTATTTGATTTTCTATGATAACTGTTCTTATCAAATGACTTTAGGAACTTTAAAACCTCTTGTTTTACTTTCATAGAAGAAAACCTTGATTGTTGCTTGCTATGGGTAACAAGATCATTTCTGCTTGTGAGTAAGCAATGTATTTGAAAATCATGTGTAAAGAAATATTTTTCTACAGGTTGCTTCAACTATTGAACTATTTCTATATGCTGCTTATGTTGTTACCACAAAGCAAATTTTACAGACTACTTCAGGTTTATAATCTGAAGAAAAGTAACCATAAAAATAACACAAATAATTTCAATTGCCTAGATGATAAAAGTAGGGTGAATTAGCTGAAATCTTGAAGTAACAATAAAAGCAATAATAATTAATAGTTGAATACTGCCAAACAATTCTTTAAATAATAGCATCAGAATTATTCTTTTAATGCTCAATCTATCTTCAGGATGTAAGTGATCAGGACTTTTGACAGCACACTCTTTTTTTAAATTGCATTGCCATGATAGTTTTTGGGAAAAATAGTGGAGTGGTTTCCTGTTTCCTTCTCCATGGTTTTGAATTCATGCTTGTTGTCCTCAGGTCTAATAGCTAAACCAAAGATAGAGAGAACACCTCCAGTCTGCAGATCTGTTTAACCCATAGCTGAAGTTGGGAGGAAAGAGATGAATTCATGCATTTCCCAGTGGTATGTGCAAAGTGAATACACTGTCTTGGATGGAATTTCAACCCAGCTTACTGATTTCATTTTTTGCAATGTTCATCATTAGGGAATATGCACCTAAAAAATTTTAAACTTGTAATTTTTGCACTTTTTTGTTTATTATGGTGTTATTTTAACTCGGTATTCTTCTCATTCTTCACTTCAGCTGCAAATCCCTTTAACTACCAACCCTGTATATTTGTAAAGCTTGTAAACTTTCCCTCCTGCTTTTACTTTTTACAGATACGTTCCAATGCCTCATTACTGTGTTAGTCCATGAACAACTCCAGTCTCCCGTAGTAACTGCAGCTCTCACATCCCGTCTCTTAGGATCCTTGCAGAACTTTTTCCAGTATCGGAAAGTTGTGGCCCCGACATTTCCTTATGTTTTGTTTCAGGTGGACAGTCAAAGGGCTGCTCTACAAAGATCAACATCTCTCAAAAAATCAGCTGTTGGTTTGCATCAAGGAGACACTCGATTTTTGCATCATGTTCGGTCCTTTCTGGAGAAGAGGCCGGGTGTTGACCCGAAATCATCTCTGTCCAAGGAGGACCGGCAGAAGACCGAGGACATTCTCCGGCCACAGACCTACAATTTTGTTGATGGAGAAGTGAATGCAGACCTTCCTGAAGGTGACACGCCTGTAGCATCTGCATTATCTTCACCAGCAGCCACATCAACTTCAACCACTGGCTCAACTACAGCCACAACCAGCAATGCATCTTCTACAAACTCTCCAATAGGTGCCAAGTCAAGTAAAGAAGAAAAAAACAAAGTTGATAAAACTATAGAGGAGAAGGAAAACTCTGTGAATACAGACTTAGATAATTCTAAAATCTATGAACATGCACCCTCAATGGTTCGTAGTGTGTCATGCTATGAAACGAGCTGTAACATTCCGACAAATTTTCCACAAAGTAAAGGTTAGTGAATTTTTATGCTCTTCTCTACATTAATTCTTTTTTTTATGTATTTCTTTAACTGGTAATGTCTTGTTTGCTTTAAAAAAAAAATTTGCTAACACTTCTTTATCATGACAAAAATAATATACAGTGGCATGCCAGTTATTTAAACATGATAATATCCAAACAGAATTTCAAGATCCTTTGAATATTTAATTTCACAACTTTGTCATGAATACAAATGTGTTAGAAATGGAGTTTCTTAATTGGTTTATTGCTGTTTCTGAGTTTATGTAGATGAAGTGTTTGTTTGGCTTGATCTCAGTCAGCTACACAAAACAGTGTTGAAATGATTTTGACACAAAGGAAAATAATAAAAATGTTTTGCTAAAGGATATAAAAGGCTGCGAAAATCTGTAGTGGTGTTTCATTCACTCATTCTGTCTCTGTTCCAAGTGTGTTTAAAGAGAAAACAAGCATCATTGACAACCTGATAAAGAAAAAAAAATGAAATTTACAGCATCTTGTTTGTGGATAGATATATATTATTTTTTTTTGTCACACTCAATGATTTATCACTTGTCTTTGTCAGGTGTTAATTTACATTGTTTCAAGAAATGTGACAATTTGTTTTGCTTGAAGTGCAAATAAAGCAAAGGATGGATAACATGTTCATATTTTCATCTTGGTTTCTGAAAGAATTTTGAACTTGCCCTCTAATTACGTCAAGCATATGTTGAATTTAAGCAACATACCAACTGCATATTGATAATGCTGTCGCACAGTATGAAAGGTAACTAATTAAAATCATCAGACAAAGCTATCAAGTGTTTCTTTTCCACTGAGTATCACTTTAGTGATAAAGTTGCTCAGTACTCATAACACTCAAATATTATTGTCTGTGGGGAAAATTGTGAAAATGGCCTACCTCGGTGTTGAAGCTTAAATAAGCATGGAATAATACAACACAAAATGTACGTTAACAAAATGTATTGAAACAAAGAATAGGTACACAATATTTACAGTTAGTTTGGTATATTCTTGGGAAGACTGTTCCTGCATAATGGGTTGACTAAATCGCAGTCGGGCAGAGTCTCTGGATTCAATTTCTTAATCTCTACTATCTTCCCCGTCTTCCGGTACCAACCCATATTTATATGGTCGGTAGTCCGCTTATGTAAATTAGGTGTATCATACACAACACTCGGAAACATCCGCGAATCTGTGTGATGTGCAAACTCCGGTTTGCTCAACGGTAAAAGGAACCAAAATGGCGGCACCCATGTTTTATGCCAGGTGGTCTCGGACAGTTAATGCGAAATCTTGTCTCGTCATTCGCATGCAAATCGTGGTTGGTCCTCGGCTGTGTAAAGCAAGCGCGTTTTTGTTTCTGATCACTGGGCTTTTTGCTCGTGAGAAGGTTGGACGTGTGACACTGTTTTTTTTGTTGGTTACCCTCCTTGCGGTTTTTTTTTTTCTATCTGCTATTATCAGTTGAGTCGTTGTGTTACCACCACATTGTCATAATGTTGTGTGTCATCATTGGTGAAGACTGCAGCTAAAGCATTGTCACAAATTCTTAAGTTCTTTGCTGTGGAGGATGCTTTATTCATGATTGCTGATACTGAGGACAGTATCAGGCCATCAAAATTTACAAGGTATTGGTACAATGGCAGTGAAGAAGTCATTTTTCTTGATTTAAAAAAAAAAAAAAAATCACTGATAATTGCAGACAGCTGAGATTAGAAGACATTGTAAAGGTTTAGAATAACGTGTGGGAAAAACTGACAATGACATTGGAACACTCAGCAATGATCAGATTATCAACAGTCATTGGATGATCAATGGGGAAAGTAGCTGCTATAGATAAAGGAAAATAAGCGCCTTCTGCAAACTCCATTAACAAAACTATCAATAGTTTGTAACTTTTTTCATGATATAAAGAACAAATTGACACTGTTTGATGCATCCTTATTAAATGCTATTACTGATAAAAACAAAGAAACACAAGAACCTGAAGCAACAGTAACTGGATGTGTTCCTCACAAAATGACTGATCATCATCTCAATGAAATTAGCCCCATTAACAAACTGAGCATTTTCAGTGCATTTATGTAAATGTATTTATGATTTTCTCTAATTTTATAATATATTCCATGACTTTTTAGTTTCATATTTTCAAGACAAAATTCATGCTGGTTGAAATATTCTTGCCACAACCTGCACTTAGTCAAAGATTATTGATTTTCTCAGAGAATTGCAAGATGTGAAAGTTAATATTTGAGTAGTGACAGATAGCAAAGCAGAAGGAAAGTAATATTTTTATCAAAATTACAATTTCAAAATTTTTAATAATTATATTTTCTAATAAATATGTGTAAAGTTTCTGCAAAAAGAAAAAAAAATAGCAAAAATATCTCTGTCCTTATGGTTTGATTTTAAGACCCTAACAAAGACTGTAGAATGGATTGATTGATTAAAACATTGTGGTAATAACAAAGAATGAATTAAACAGGTCATGGAATAATAGTAACTCATTTCAAAACTAGACAATTTTTGTGAAAATGGATGATGAAATTTTCACTGGCTCAATGAGTATGAATCCATTTTTATAAGAAAAGGAACAATGTTAGGAAAAATACTAATGATGGTTTAGACAATTTTAAATATTTTCTTTATAGAATATAAATATGAATAACAATTTTTATCTTTTCAATTACATTGTCATAGCTGTATTTGAATACAAATGTTTCTGTAAAATGAATTACTATGAAAATCTTTGGAATATAATTATCTTGAAAGTCCTCTTTCCATTGGGTGACAGAGAATGTACATTGTTTTTATGATGAACAAGTTAATTTATGTCACTAATTGCAATTTTCATAACACTTAAGATGCATTTATAACTATGCGAGGGTGCTGAAAAGGTCTTGCAAGAACCAATAAATTAAAAAAAAAAAAATCACAAGAAGCAAGTCATTTAGTCAGATTTTAGATAGTGGGTTGGGTCAGGAACTTTTCAGCAGCTCCTCAGATGTAGTTATACAGTGTATGTATGCATATAAAAAACAAACATAATTTTTGAACAGGTGATTTTGTTTCACATGTGACTGAAATTTACCACATATATATACATATTCTGAAAGGTGTCATTTCAGTGCATCTTTTGATGTCATTTGTGTATGGATTGTGAATTTTAAATATTTTAAAATTGAAGATGTAGGGTAATGTGATGCTTTTTTTTCTCATTTGATGCACTTTAATTTCTGGAAAGTGAAAAAATGCTGTACAATAAAGCTAGATATATGTATGCCATTCATAGCGATGGAGCCATAACTGAGAGTACTGTGCATAAGTGGTTCACAAATGGAAATGTCGACTTGGAAATCTGAGAATGTTCTGGTAGGCTTACAGTTATTGATGATGGCCAAATAGAAATGATTTTACAAAAAAATCCAGATCACATGATACAGGACATCTTAGACACTCTCTGCATATCTTATATGAGGGTTGTAAGGTATTTGAAAACACTTGCATCTGTGAATTACCATGATGTTTGGGTGCCTCATGTTTTAATGGAAAAAATTTAATGGATCACATTTTTACCTGTGTTTATGTTTAAATGCAAAAAACAAACCATTTTTTTAAAAGAATGATCACAGGTGATGAAAAATCAATTGTTTATAACAATGTAAAGTGAAAAAGGCATTGGAAAAAACTTGATGAAAACCACTATCTATCTAAAAATGTATCTAAACATGTATATATGTATGTACAGGGGTTGGACAAAATAATTGGAACACTTGTTAAATTCAAAGAAAATTTATTTGATATGGAGTTGGGCCTCCTTTAGCCTCACAGACAGTTTTAATACATCTAGGAATGGAATCATACAGCTTCCTGACTTCATCCAGAGGAATTTTCAGTCATTCTTCCATTAATACCTTCTCCAGCTCTTTACGACACAACGGTGGAGGATAGCGGCTCCTAACTTGTTGCTCCAAAATGCACCACAAATGTTCAATAATATTGATATCTTGATATTGGGGAGGCCAATCTATGTATTCTAGCTCATTTTCATGCTAACTTCATACCAATTCTTAACCACTCGAGCAGCATGTATTGGAGCATTATTGTCTTGGAAGATGCAGTCACCATCAGGGAATAAAGTCTTGGCCATTGGATGAAGAGGATCTCCCAAAATGTTCAGGTAATCTTTGCTGTTGATTCTACCATGCAGGGCAACTATTGGACTGAGACATTTCCATGATATGACGGTTCAAACTATCATTGATCTACCTTCATGCTTCGCTGTTGGAAGAAGGCAGTCAGGGTTGTAAGCTTCTTTGGGCTGCCTCCATACAACTTGCCCTGAAGTTGGGAAAAGAGAAAAACTGGACTTGTTTAAGAATATGACTTACTTCCATTGGTCTGCAGACCAGGCAGTGGGATCTCTGCACCACTTCAACCTCTTTTGAATGCTGTGAGTGGAGAGAAGAGATTTCCTCATAGCGGCTCTTTCATGATATGCAGCCTTATGGAGTTCACGGTGAACAGTTTTAGTAGAGACTGAACTATTCAGGTGGTTATTCAACTCGGCAGTCACTTTGGCCGCATTTGTCCAATGATTTTTTGCCACATTACGTTTCAATGCACGTGAGTCTGTGTCGGTAAGTTTGCAAGTCCGGCTCAAATTGCTACGGTTGCTAGAAGCCTTGCCCTGTTTCTTGAATTGCATCAGTGTTCTTGATATGGTATCTCTTGAAAAACAAAACAGTTCAGCAATCTTAGTGATCGAGGCTTTTTTTCAAACTCAGAGAGGTCACGCATTTAGCTAAAATTTTACTAAATTCTAAAAATAATTAAGACAAAGACAGTAAATTAGATAAATAAACGTATTTACAATAGATATAACCTGCAATTACAAAGTTTTAGTTAAAGTTCTTAATATAATAGGTCATTGAAATATAAGAGTGGATTTTGCAACTGTTCCAATTATTTTGTCCAACCCCTGTAACTAAACATGTATGTACGTATCTAAAAATGTATCTAAATATGAAGACACACACACACACACATCTAAATATGTATCATTTTGCATATCTTAAAAAAACAGTCACTCCCATGAGTGAATTTATGTATTGTGTTACACAATGACTTAGTAAATAAATTTTTCACATCATGTGCAGATTTTTTTTTAGTATATACATAACATCACCCAAGTCTGTCATTCCTCCCTTCTTTTTGGCTCCGTGTGACTTTTGTCTATCCCAAAGCTAAAATCTCTATTGAAATATTGTGGATGAGATTTATGAGAGCACAATGTTGCAGACTGATTTTAAAAAAGTACAAGAGATACTTGAATTATTGCAGTATTTTGAATAGGACAAAGGCATTGCTTTGTTGACTCTTTCATTAATATTAAATTGCTGGATGCTTTCAAGGCAGTGCATGTGTGTGTCTTTTTTTCTTTTTCTTTATGATATAAAATGATACCCAATACTGAATATTAGTTCTTTTATTCTTTATTTTAAAAATTTTTATATGCTACTTGTGTTTATCTATATTTATTTTGGACATTGCCAAATAATCTTCTTTGTCTGTTTGAACCCTTTTATAGTGACTTGATCTTTGAAGGAAAATATTATTCTGCTTAATTTATTTCAGATCATCAATTTGTTTTTTATCAGACAATAGCCAATGAAACAGCAGCAACACTTTTAAAAGAGGTAAATTCATTTAATGCCTTTTTTTTTTTAACACTTTCCTTGCACACCTTATCCGTTTTAAATTTTGATTATATCTGGTTAAGTTAGGGAAATATTCATTATATAATTTGTAAAATTGAAGTATTATTAAAAGAAAACGTGGGAGGAAAAAGACAAGTGGTCTCTTAATAGTATATGGAAATGCATTTAAGAAGAGAGGTAATGTAAAATTTCTTAGTACTAACATTAATGGGGTTGAGTCTATCCTAAGATTTCATGATAACCTGTTGTTTTATCAGTTATTTATTTATTTTTTTACAATGATGTTCACCCTGTACAAGTACCAAGAGCCACTCAAGATAGAGGGTTACAAAGTAAGAGACATAGTTTATGGGGATATATGGTTGACCCTAGACTTGAACAAGTTAAAATTGTAGTGATCAGAGAAGCATCATCTTGGAGGTCTGTTCTACAAAGCAACAGTTCATGGGGAGAAGCTGCTTGAGTGGAACTTACTTTTCACTGATGGGATATGAAGGGAATGAGGGTGGTTCACAACAATTAGCATGGCATGGTGTGTCTTAGCTGTGAAGGTTAGAACTGGTGGAACTAAGAAATGTAGTTTGAACACTTTCCATAGAAATAGTGATTGTGTAGCAAGAGGCTTGTAGTGTTTTGTTTGTCAGAAAGAGATTGTAGTGTGGAAAATATTTTGCCATCCACAAGTATCAGATACACTTTTGGACTCAGACTGGAAAGTAAAGACTCCTCCTCATATGGCAACAGTACTCCATTTTCAGTCTGATCTGGCTCTTGTAAAAGTAGATGATAATAGGAGTTGGGTACTTAATGGTGATGTACAAGGAACCAACCCTTTTTCCAGCATCTTTAGTGATGGATTGTATGTACGAGTTCCACTTGAGGACTGGATTGAGTTTGTCTCTAGATGCTCAAGGCACGGGGCTTCCCTGAGGGAACACTTCTTCATTGTGATTGGTGAAAGTTCTAGGTCTGCTGGGTGATGATGGAAAGTTTGGATTTCAAGGCATTGAATGTGACCAGCTCTTGTCATCTAGAGTTATGGAGGTTCACTCATATACCATTGTATCATTGGTATAGATATTCACGAATGATCAGAATATACTTTTAAGTAGATCATTTATGTAAAGCAGAGTTGAACTGAGAGGTGAACCAGGGATGCCTGCATTGATTGCTTGGGCCTCAGTGGACTGGTCATTAACAAACACCATTAGGAAAGACTTTATAATTGAGAAGACTCTTTCAGTGATTCCATATCTAGAGAGTTTGTATAGTAACCCTTTATTCCAGAACTTGTAAAAAGCCTTTGAAATATCTAATTAAATTGTTCTTGATGTATTTGTTGTCTAGTACCTCACTGATTCTGTGAGTAATTGCAGTTAGGATGTCAGCAATAGATTGAAGTTGCTCCTATTGAAGTGATCAATAACCTTGTTGATTATAGCTTAAAAAAGTTTAATGACACTGATGGGACTATATTGTGACAGGGATGAGTTCTCACTTGCATTCTTCAAAACAGGGCATACACTTGACACCTTCCACAGATTTGGGAAGGATTTCTCCTCTGAGCAATGGTTAAATAATTTTGCTAAGATCAGAGATAACTCCAGCTTAATATTCTTAACGACAACCACTGGGATTTTGTCTGGATCAGTTTATTAATCATTCATAAAGACACTGTCTTACCTGCAAATAAATATTGGAACTGAAAGCAGTATTTAACCCCCACTTTTTCTTTTCAGCTTTAGTCAAAGAGAGACTTATATTGTCAAAATTTTTCATTATTTGTTAGTTTTTATCCTGTTAATTAATTTGTGATTTGTGATACCAAATGCTTTTATTATAAACTCGGCTGATTATGCATATTTGTCCTATTCTGTTTGTAATACTTGAATTCAATCCTGACCACTGAAAACTCCTTTGTTGATTTTGAATGCACAATATACACATTGAGTACTAAAATTAGCTTGGGTAATTGCAGAATTCTACTTTTAAAAATTTGTTACTATGATGATTTTATTTGTTATTATAGATATTGTCATTAGAATAAATGACAATTTTGCTGTATTTATTCAGTAAATTCCACCTGTAATATAAATTACCTAAATAAAGACATAAATGAGAAGTGAATATAAGCAGACTTGTCTGAAATACTTGTGGTATTGTGTAAAAATTCATTTATGCTTAGTAATTTGTTCATAAATATCCTGTGCAAATTCTGTCATCTACTTGCTTCTTATATATGCTTTTAATATTTGATGTCTCTCATTTTGTATATATATATATATATATATATATACACACACAAAAAAAATAGCTGGCCACTCATATTTGATGATACCTGTCTACTAGGGCAGCTAGCCAATCCCTATTGCAGATGCTCGCTCAGGCACATTTGTGTTTGCTCAACACCCACAGGGTTGTGGAGAGAGTGTGTTATTTATTGTGATCAACAATTTGAACAAGGCTCGCATGCTCAAGCCTTTGGCCACGATGACTTGTGGCTTCATGTTAGCGCGGCTATCGATGGCTCACAAGAGTTATGTCTACCCAATTTCACACACAAAGCTTGGAGCAACTGGTGGTATGGTTTTCAGACACTTTCCAAAGGTGCTGCATGCTGGGATTGACCTCGATTCAATCTGATAACATCATGAATTTGCCTTCCTGACTAATTGACCATGGTGAGATTTGAACCTGGGTCTCATGGTCAGAAAGCAAATGTTCTAACCACATACCTATATATATATATATATATATATATATATATATATATATATATATATATATATATATATATACGCACACTCTATATTTTTAATAAACCTTAACTCCTAACTGTAATATCAAGAGATACATAAAAAAGAATCAAGAAATAATTATTCTTTTAATTGCTTATCATTTTGCATCCACAACTGCAATGTTGGCATTTCTAATAAACTAATAAATCTTGTTCAGTTTATTGAATTTAGATTTATCAAAAATAATATAAGATTTTATCTTTATTTTTATTAGTGCATTCTATCACCTTATATGATTATTGGCCTTTAAGATGATTTTCACTACTTGAGACTTTAAAAAAAAATGTGTGTAAAATTAACAGCACATTTTGTTCAAATATTGATGACCTATAAATATATTTTTAAGAATTACTTTCATTTCACTATTGTTTTCCTCACATTGATATTTGTTGGTGATAATCAAGGCCATCCTTTCTTTCCACAAAAGTTTCTATGGATTTTGAATGATGTTTAAATTAGATTTAATTTTACTTTTCAATTAAATCAGCTGTGGAATTTAGAATAAGCCTGTTAAATGTCAATTGTTATTCTTCCATATATTATTTTCATTAAGTTTAACTTAGCATAACACCAGGAAATTGGCGTAGGAAGATAGTTGTACCAATCCCTCAAATGAGAACGGCCTGGTTGTATAGAAAATCAGTGTTTAATACCCTTAGAAAAAAGTATTGGCTGAGCATTTAAATACTCATGTAAGATGTGCATCTTATAAAAATGTGAGTAAGAAAAAAAATCCATCTTTGACTTTTGTGAATTGACATCTAAATTATTGGTTTCTTTGCTTTTTTTTCTCTTTGTGCTAAATGCTTCTTTTTTTTTTTTTCACCCTCTCTCAACAGCTTACACTTTCCAGTAACATAAGCTTAGGCATTTCATCTGAAGACATCGATATTTCCCTCACAGGAGGCTGGGTGTAAGTTAATCATTAAATATCTAAATTTTTCATATGTAAATAAGTTTTGATTCTTTTTGATAAGAGATGAATCATTCAAGTACTTGATGCAAAGATGTCTGCCAGATTTTACTTATTGTCAATTTCTTTATTTCCCCCACCCAAGGAACAGCATTGCCTTCCCTTCCCCTCCCCTTGTTTCCTTGCCTTGCCTTCCCCACTTCCCCTTGTTGCCACATTGGAGGTGGTGGTGGCTTGTCTTCCTGCCTTTCTGGGGGTTGGGGGTTGCCTTCCCACCTTTCTCTCATTGCCTTCCCGCCCTGCCTGTCCATGTATATTTTAGCAAAGAGTTCAGAACTTTCAGATGCACAAATATTTTCTAAAGTTTTGACCAATTCATTCTATAGTCTTCAGGCGTAAAGAAAAAGCAAGGAGCCTCTTTTTTAGAAAATGACTAGAATAGATCAGCTGAAAAAGTGTGGTTAAAATGGGGAAAAAAAAATGATTTTCTTAGTCAAAACAACTCTTGGAATGGTATTGACTTCTCAACATTAGCAAAGTTATCTATTTCAATTGCAATTCTATTATCATCATTCTGTCTATTCATTGTAAAAGTAATAATTGACAAGAAATAAAATATTAAATGATTATTTGAACATGATTTTCAATTTTGAATAGTCTTATCATGGTAACTGTTAAATAGGATACTAACTTCTCTGACTGTAGAGCAGAGGTTCTCAATTGGGAGGAATTTCAGGGTTTAAAGTTGGAGTGGAATCTTTTTACTTGTTTTTTATTTACAGATTTTTGTTTATTGAATACACTATCTTGGCATTCTATTGTGTTTTTTGTTTATTGAAATGTACTTCAGTTTATTTATATAACTAGTTATGAATTAAAACAAATTATAGTGCAAATATTCAAGTTTAAAAATCCATCAACATTTTTTTTGTGATGTCAACAAACATTTGTTGCCACTTTTGTAATGCTAACGAATACTTGTCACTCTGTAATGCTCGTTGTAGTAGAGATTTTATAATCACAGATACAACTAAAATAACGCTGTTGAACAATACTAGTGTCAGACACCTTTGAATATGACTTGCACTAATAGTACTTGCTCAAGAATACTTGCTTGAATAGTAATCTGTATATAGCAATCCTTTATTGTGCTCACTCTTGAAGAATCGGATAGTCTACTGTTTTCATCAATATTTTGTCCTAAATATTTAAGTCTGGACATAAACAATTTGCATATTCCTTCACTAATCTTAAAACCATATTCTTTGATTTTCTCAAAGACTTTCTTTTACATCTTCTGCTTGCTGCTTTTGGGTCTTGCTTTTAATAATTATGCCATCCAAATATGCTTGAGCACAATCCAAACTGGCAAGCATGGTATCCATTATCTGTTGGATTATGCTTGGTGCTACCTTTATACCGAAAGGAAGTTGGTTGAATTTGTATAATCTTCTTTGAGTTTTAATTGCTAATAGTTTTGAGCACTCTTCATCTACTAGTACTTGTAGATAAGTGTCTGACAGATCCAATTTAGAAAAAAAATTTACTTCCATTCAATTTGGCAAAAATTTCTTCTGAACTTGGTAACAGGTAGTTATGGTGTTTTTAAATTTTCATTTAACCCCATTGAACAATTAGAACATATGCAGATTTTATTTCTTTTTTTAACATAAACTGTTGGTGATGCCTATTCAGAATAGTCTATTTTTGAGATCACACCTAATTTTTCTAGTCTGCCCAATTCATTATTAATTGGATCTAAAGCGGCAAAAGGTATACTCCTTTTTGCCTTAAATGTTGGGGTTACATTGTCTTTTAACTCAAACTTAGCTTTTGTTTTCATGCATGTCCCTAGACCTGAGAAAACTTCCGGAAAACTTTTTCAGTTCATTTTTCAGTTGCCATATTAGTACTGGTCGTAACAACAAATATCTTGTTGCAAAAAGAGTTAATTAGAAGGTCCCAAAGATCAAACAATGCAATCCAGTCTGTTCCAAACAAATTAGCAGTATTCTGTAATACAAACACTACTGCTTTTTTTGTTTTTCTATGAAAAGAACATTACAGCTGAATTCACCCAAAAAGTTCAATCTCTTTCCTGAGACTCCATGCACAACTCAGAAGTCAATAAACTGGGTTTACCTAGCCCATTTTTCTCCATGTCTGTTCATTTATGATAGTGATATCAGATCTTGTTTCTAGTTGCAATTTTATTTTTATTTTATTAATTTGCACAAAAACAAATTTCCTCTTTTCGATGTTTTGTTAATTTCCCTTTTAGGCTCATTGTTACTCCATGTATTTATCATGTTCACATACGTTTTATTTTTCCTCAATTTTTTTGTACCTGCAACATGTACTTTTTGTGTCCTAATCTTCCACATTTGTAACATTTTTTTGTTATTGAAAAAACAATTACTTTTAAAATTCTTATCTCCACAACCATAACAAGTATTAGGTATTGAGTGGGGTTTATCGTCTTTCTTTCTTGTTGAGGAGTTGAAAAACTTTTTTTTTTTTTTTTTCTCTTAGATGGTCTGACACTATGTACTTGTGAATTGTCTTTTACCTCAATCTTTGCGGTATTGAGTTTCAAATTCACAAATTCGTATTTTTCTGCTATTTTCTGGAGAGTTAATTTGGGATCCATTTCTAATTTAGCAAATATCCTGGATCTCATCTCCGTGTCCTTATTAGAAGTTAAACCCCATACGAATATTAGGCATTTAAATAAATCAGGAGTTAATTCATTTAACTTGAACTTCTCAAATTCACAATTCACAACTTCTGCATAAGTGACAAAATCTTCATCTTTGGACTTTACTAAATTAAGACATTGCCATCTTGTATTAAATAATGAATTCCTATCACCAAAATTTTTTAATGGAATTAGAACAGTCTCATCAAAATTTATCCTGTTTTTTTTTTTTTTTTTCAGCAAAATATAATTCACATATTTTTCATGTTTGCAGGGGACAATTTCCTAAATAATAACTGAACTTTCTTTTCATCATTCCAATGCAAACAATTCCTATTGAAGATCCCTTCGTATCTTCTACAATACGCTGGAAAATTTATCACTTCATCTGTATTGTACACAAATTTGCTGATTGAATTAGCAACAGTATCTGGAGTGAATGAATCTGAAGTTTTTCCTTTCATGATTTTGGTAAACAACTCAAAAAAAAACTTCTGCTGCTGTAGTAATTGCTGTTCAGTTTGTTTTTGTTACTGCAAATGTTGTTCTTGTTGCTGCTTTTTTAGCACCAACATTTAAACCATAATAGCTCTTAGTTCTTCCATTTTGCTGAATGAATCCTCATGTAAGTTCAAGGAATCCTTGCGAATACTTGTCGCTATGTTTGGGATATCAACAAACACTTGTTACCACTTTTGTAATACCAATGAATACTCGTTGTCACTTCATAATGCTCGTTGTAGTAGGGACTTTATAATCGCAAATAAAACTAAAGTAACACTGTTGAACAATACTGGTGTCAGACAACATCAAATTTCACTTGCACTAATAGTACTTGTTTGATAATACCCGCTTGAATAGTAATCCATATAGGGATCCAAATAGAGAAATAGTATAGTGAATAGAGTAGAGAATACTGGTCCATATAGAGGATAGACTAAAAATGGAGATCAATTAGATGTCACGCAACTTCCTACATATGTGTTTCTTCTATGGTCTACCATATCAATAATGGGATCACCTGTGTTTGCTCACTGGCGATCTATGTTCAAACTCAAGTGTCAGCAGCAACGCTTTATTCCTATATAACAATTTTCTGTTGCCATTATATTTGTAAAACTCCTATAAAAATAATCCATGTAAATGTATTAATATGGAAATGGATGAAGATTTTCAATAATATATGCATATTATTTGGAATACACATTTTGATGAAAAGAGTGTATTGGGTAAAAAAAGGTTGAGAACTACTGCTGTAGAGAAAACAGTAATTGAATCTCAAAAAAAAAAAAAAAAACAGTTCTGTGAAAGCTTTGGTGTGCTAATGCAAGAGAAGTAACTAACTTTTCAACTTTTTTAAGGAGTGACTAAGTTGGGGAAAATCATTTCATTGTCCTTTTATGAAAATGACTTTTTCATAGTACTGTAGAAAGTATTGTAATGAGTGTTACTGTCTCTAGAATATTTAAATCCAGTGGTATGTGAAAAGTCTAATCTTTTAGCTTCAATGTTTAAAAAATGTTTTTAATTTTTTTTTTCTCCATTTTCAGTTTTTGTGGTTTAGATGATGAAGTTGTCATTCTGCGAAAATTAGCAGAAGAAGGCAGCACTATTCAAAGGTAAGAAAGATTATTTCTAAGTAAGAAAAAAAATTAACCTAATATTGTGTATGTCTATTAAGAATAAGTGATGTCTTCTGCTGTGAGAATGTTTTATCTTGAATTTTTTATAATATAAAAAATTTAAAATTGATGTTTTGGAATTGAAAGGGAGAATACAAATGTCTTTCCCAATTACCTCCTCACATTTATAATGTATGCAATTTTTCAAATCCTGTTGAAGTATGTATTTTTAAAGGTCTCATTGAAATGAAAGCCTGTTTCTCTCTAGGTTAGAAATTTTTCATCAGGAATAGGAAATTTGTCTCCTCAAAATCTCCTTTGTGTATTGTTTGGTTTCAGAGCAACTGGAATTCTTTGAGTAAAGCTGTTAATCATGTCTCTGGAATTTTTTTATAAAATGCCTTCTGAAATACAAATTGTTTTTTTTGTTCTAGTTTCATGGGAAAAGGAGTTATCCATGTTCCTCCAAAAGTTGTTTGGGATACAATCAGGAACCCCAAAACAAAGTTTGCCTATGATGAAAGTTTAAAGGTAGGTATTAACACACCCAGATTTTATTTATAATTTTTTTTTATTTATAATTTTTTTTTATTTCTTTAAAATTTTCTTCCAAATTTTAATATGTTATTAGTTTTATTTAAATTTTAACTTTTTTTTTTTTTTCAGAAAGTAGATGTATTGGAGTCATTTTTAGATACTCTTAAAGTTGGTAAGTATTTTTCTATTTTATAGTAAATATTTTTCATTCATTTACATTGATTTCTTCCTTGATGTAAAATTGCCTTCTATCTCTTTCCTTTTTTCCACACTAAATATAACCATTTAGCATTTTAATAGAAAGTAACTTGGTATTTCATTACTGAACCTTGTTCAACAATGAATTAATATTGGCAAAATAGAAAATGTTTTAATCTCTTGAGACAATTGAATTTCAGTTTTATGAAAATATTTTGGGGTCTGTCTATATTTCTGAGATGAGGTATTATGTACATTATTATTATTAGTCCGAATAATGAAAATGTTTTCTTTTTCAGTTGCTCTAATTTTTTTTTAATTGTTTTGGCATTTTTATTTATTTATTTTATTTATTTTTTTTTTTTTTTTTTTTTTTTTACAATAAACATCAAATGAAAAGAAATCCTAGTTCTGAAAAGATGAAAATTTCCCAACATATATGGCTTATTTTTTGTAATCACCGTTTTGGATCACCGTTTGTCTCATACACTTGGTTACTATTATTAGAGTAACACCTAAATGCTCTTGTTTGAAATATACATGATTATATATTTTCTATTGATATCAACTCAAATAATTTTACTGCCAACTCCTCTGTATCATACCTAAATAAACTGAAATTCTTACTATCAAATGTAAGAAAGGGGGATGAGTCTGGTTTTATTTTTGTGTGTGTTTAGTGTTTTTTTGTGGGAAGTGTGTGTGCTTTTTGGTTTTGTTTTTTTAAATTGCAAAATTCCACTTTTACAAGCTACATTTAAAATGGTAACTGTTTTGCCTTTGTTTTTTTTTTTTTTTTTTTTTTTGTTTTTTTTTTGCTTTTGTTTTTTGTTTCTCTTTTTTATTTGTTTGTTTTTTTTGGTTTTTTTGTTTCTGTTTTTTTGTTTCTGTTTTTTTTGTTTCTGTTTTTTGTTTCTTTTTTTTTGGTTTCTGTTTTTTGTTTCTTTTTTTTTGTTTCTGTTTTTTTTTGTTTCTGTTTTTTTTTTTTTTTTTTTTTTTGGTTTCTGTTTTTTTTTGGTTTCTGTTTTTTTTTTTGTTTTAATTGATTCCTTTTTTGCCTTTTTCTGTTTTTTATTTGTTTACTTGTTTTTTTGAAAATTTAGGCATTTAACTTATCTTTTTGTTTAATATTTGTTTTTTTTATTTGAATGTTTTTGATTTTTGTTTTGTTTTAATTGAAGACATTTACAATGAACTAATTGGGTTGTATTTATATTTTTGTTCCAGTGTATTTTTACCATGAAGTTGTGGGTTTGTTCCGTAAGGACTGCTGTGATACCTGTGTTATTCTCAGTGAACGGACTGAGAACAATCGGTTTATCCTGTCTATGAAGTCCGTCAACTATGACAAAGCACCCACAAATGAAAATGCTACTAGAGCCATAGTAAGTCAACAAAATTACCACTTGGCTATTTTTTTATAATCTGAAAGGTTTCTTTTCAATTTTCTCCAAGTTGAAATGATTATCATTTGAGTAAATTAATTTATTTAAATCTTTCAATAATGTACAGTTTTTATTTAACTCAATGGAAAAAGTATTGTTTTGAATCAATAGTTTGCTTATAGCACATAGACAAGTAATGGGAAAATTAGAGTAGGAAGATTGTGTTGCATAAGTCTGCTAATTGAGGAGGACCTTTCACTTAAAAACTTGTATTCAAAATCCTAACTTGGGCTTTGGTTTGAAGACAGGACCAATAAGAAATATGAAATTAGCTCACTGTGCAGGCTCTTTTTGTATAAGTTTGGCAAAAGAGTAGTGACAGTAGTAGGTATGCTGAAGGTTGAATTAATTACTCCAGTGCATTCATTTGATATAATATACAAGCTTGTTAACCATTTTTATGTGGTAAGTAACTGTGCTTTGTTTTTTGTTTTTTTGTTTTTTGTTTTTTTTTTTAAATCATTAAAATAATTGTAAGATTTTAATATCCATTAAAGTAAATGTGGGCCTGAGTAGTTTCAATTCTTTTAAGTAATTTTCTTTCAGTTTGACTTGTCAACCATTAAAATTGGAGTTAAATGATTTTTTTCTTGTATGCTGAACACTGAAACTTTTAAATTATCATAAATAAAGGATGAACTTGATGTTTTCTCAATTTTGTTCTTCCACAAAATACTGGAATTTATTGAGTATGTTTTGTATCTAACTTTTGTAGTACTGGTCAAGAATAATAGGACTATTTGTATATGGATTGGCAATTCTGTGTAGGGTCAGAATATAGTATCCGTGAAGTGTCTCACACGCACACACACACACATTCTACATTTTATATATGTGGTTTATTTTGGGTTTTACAATATCATTACTTTGAGAAATGTAATTGTATCTATGTTATTTTGTGTAATTTATTGTATATCTAGAATATCCAATTAGCCATTGCATAAATGACTTAGTTTTAAAGTATAAGTAATATAATCTTGCTATTGGCATGTTACAGTGGTTGTAGAAAGAGTGGTTAGGTGAACACTTCAGCAAACCATTTTACCATAATTACATTATAACACTGGTAGAAGTAAAAATAAAAAGCTGTTACACCCATTTTAAATCTTGACATATACTAGATGATGGTCAGTGCTGACTTTAGTCCAAGCTGGTTGTTGGTTTGTTGGCCACTTCAATCCACACTGTCTCTGCCTACATTGTATTCTTGATCTCAAAGGAGTAAAAGATTGAAGGATATAGTCTCACAGCGCTGGTCAAGCCATGGCAGGTGTTATATTAAGGGAAAAAATATCTTCATGAGGAAAATAAATGAGATTCATGGGGTTAATTTTCAATTGGTTTATGTAGCTCTTGGTACAACAAAAATTAACCCTTCCCACATCAGTATCTCTACTGACACTGGGCTTTGTCTAAACTTCTGGAAGGCTGGGTTCAAAGTCTTAGAATCCGGAATTCTTGTTGGAAACTGGTGTGGATTTCACAGGCACAATATGGTTTCTCAGTCAAAGTCTCCGAGCTCCTCAAAATCATCTGCTTATATGCACTTTGCCCCCAAACTGGCCTGGGGCTGAAGTGTTCTTGGGGTTCCTTGATTCTTTAATTTCCATTAATTCAAAATAAGTATTTTCTTTGTTCCCTATTTCTGATTTCTTAATCAATTTTCCAAATTTTGAGAATTATCCACCTTCTTTGGGAGTAATCACAGGGATTTCTCTACTTCACAACTTGCACCACTACTTTGCACAGGCAAGGCCAAATTCTGCCACTTCCTCACTCCTTTTTGGTATTCAACATCAATCCACTTCTCAAGGCATGCATAACTGTCTTTGTGACAAATCTAATTTTTAAAATGCGTGGGAAAAGGAGTGGAGTTCCCATTCCAACCATTAATTTTAATTCTCTGAATCTTTTCCATTTTCCTGGAACCATCTCTGCCCAGCTAAGATACAAACCAGACCACCTATGACAGAATTTGTTTTCATAACTCCAGCCTTAATTGTACAATACATCTGACCCATTAAGAGAAATTTGTTCTTATTTTAACCTTCCGAGCAATGGATAAAAATTATTTCCTAAATTTGAAAATATATATTTGTTTTCTTAAATTCAAAACACTCTCTGTTTTCACCACTGGGCCAGTTGCTGTCTTCAGTGAAAACTCAAACCAGATCACCTTGTTGGCACAACATGATTGATTTTTCATAACTTCAGCCCTAAGAAAAAGGGTTTGTTCTCTGTTTTTGTCAACAAAAAATATGCATGTTTCTCTAATTTCTCAAGAAAGAGATAAAGCAATTTCTCCAAATCTGTTTTTGTCTGCATGCCAGACTCTTGATAGATAAAAAAAAAAAAAAATAAACTTCTAGGAGAAAAGGAATCCAGATGTCTGATTCTCACCAATGAAAATGTCTTCACTCTCTCTTTCTATCTTCCAGCCTATATTTTATTTTGGGTTAACCATTCTCTTTTCCTGCTTAGAATTAATATTTAACCATTTTACTGCCTCAATGTCACAATCTGTTAAAGTACAATTTTAATTTATAAAGGTGTTTCTTTTCTAGAAACAATATTAAAGAAAATGACATAGACCAGTTTTTGAATGATCACCATTTTTAACAATTTACTTTTGTTAAAATTGAGCACAAAAATTTCCCTACTAATTTAACTTAATAATAAACAATGTCATTACACTCATAAATATTGTTACTGACAAACATAATTTAAGGATAAAACAATACAAACATTGCCCAGAACTTTTTTCTAAAATCAAAATGTGTTTTTTTAAATAATGAGTTGATCTGAATTTTTTTCATAAAACAATTGAATGTTACTTTTAAAAAGAGCATATAATATATACAAGGTGCAACGGGTAAATTGTTTCCATTTTATATTTTTTAATTTCGCACATGCATATTGTCTGTTTTTGATTTTATTGAATGCACAGTATAGTAGGGTCAGTTGGGCACCATCTGTGAGAAAAAGAGCACTATGATGCAATTCACACCACCAGAAATTTGGAAATGGCATGCTGTACTACTTGGAATTTGTGCTGGAAGATCTAATACAAACATTTCAGAGCATTTGGGTGTGAATCTAAAGACAGTGTAGAGGATTTGGAAAGAGTTGGATGAGTCTAATGGTGATTATGAAGGTGTTTAGAGTAATCACTAGTGATGGGAATGTGATGCCTCCATTCATCTTCCCACAGGGCCTCAGAATCAAAACAGAGGCCTGTGTCAAGTACCTTGGGGAGGTAATGGTGTCCTGGGTCAAGAGAGTAGCTGCTGGTAGATCCCGTGTCCGGTAACAGGCCTCTGTACTATGCCACACAAGCAGGAGAACACAGTTATGGCTGTCAAAATTTTTGCTATCATATCACCTATTGTACCAGTAAGATGTATGGATAAAAGCAAAAAAAAGAATGATAATTTTGAAAATGTAAGTTTCCTTGAGGATTCAAAACTCGATTTGTTAATTTGAATAAAGGAAAATGTTAACAGGTATGGAACATGTGTATGTGCAATTAGTCATTGGGGTTTATTCTGTTGTCCTAATCTTTGGGTAACAAATATGCTCCTATCAAGAATTGATAGGAGTGTTAATTAGCTCATGAATTTTTAAAAAGATTGTTACTGTAACATCTAGCTGAAGGAAAATAAAACTTCAGATTTTCTTTTATCATCAAATCTGGTATTGCAACATTTCTTTCTTGATTTTGACATCTGAGAAAACCTGAAATATTTGTAGATGATTCATTAATATTTACCACAGCACAATTTTGTTACTTTTAGTAGCAAATTGTGATACACAACGTAATTAACTCCTTGTGATCCAGAAGACCCAACTTCAGCATTGGGAGGATCTCTTCAACCAGGGATCAAGGGATAGTTCTCAGTAACCAGATTGCAATTGGTGAAGTGACAAGATGGTATTCAGTGGCGTGAGCAAGGCTATATTTGGAACCAGGTCAGCTTAAGGTCGCACCTTTACATCTGGCCACCTGGCTCCCCAGACTACAACTCCCTTGATTATTATGTGTGGGGTGCAGTTGAGTGAGAGACCAACAAACTCCTTGTAACACCAAAGATGAAATGAAGGCAAGATTATGGTAGCATTCACCATCTTAAACAAGGAGACCGTCCAGAAGAGTTGCAGGAGATTCAAAAGTCGTCTGGAGGCCATGGTTGAAGCCGATGGCTGTTTTATCAAATAAATTTACTCTTTAGTATTTCAAGATATTCTTGTGTAATTTTGGTAAATATATCAGTTAAAATTAGATGTCTGTGTTCATTTTTGCATAATTTTGACAACAATTTATATATCTCACCCTGTACATTATACAGTTTATGGCAAAGCACCAGAAACAATTACACTCAAAGGACTTGTCAACAAACACATATTTTTCCATTTTGAACTTCTCTGCTATAAATTAGACAAAATGGTGAGAAAATATAAACTTGTGTTCTCTTAGATTTATAAATATATCAATGCTTCAAAGGAAGGATGAAATTTAACACTCAATACTTCAAGGTTTATTATGGCTTTTCTCTTTTTAGATATAAAATTATTTCTGAATTTTATTGTATTGAGTTTCTTTTTATCAAATTTAATATATTTTGCTTCTTGTAATCAATTATATTTTCATATTTCTCATGAAGGTAAAAAATAATCCTCATTGTAACTTATATATCCAAGTTCATGGCTCTTTATCTGTTTTGTGTGTGTGTATTTTACTTTTCAAAATGAATCTAATGTAACAATTTAATCTTATTACCTTTAAATGTATTGTAGTTACTGGAAAATACTACACTTCTTAATAAATAAGGCATAATGTAAATGTTTGACAAAATGTATATTTGCAACTTGAAATTGTGGGTGGTTTAATGATTAAGACAGAAAATGGAATTGTCAAGCTTCACTTTGCATTAATGTATTTGGTAAAGGTATGAACCCATTCCTTTTCTTTCCCATCACCACCAACTATAGATAAAATAAGACAGACTGATCTCTCTAGCTTTTGGTGAAAACCAGTTCACGAGAACTACTACTTTATATACATTCCAGTTTTTAATTTAGACCTATTAACCTCATCCTGTGGCATCTGAAAGCAGTAAATATCAATGTAATTGCAGCCCTTTACCTCTCACAAGGAAATTGTAAATAATAAATACTCCAATGGAATATTATTTGGGCAGACATAGCATAAAGAACAAAAAAATGCTTGGGCATAACCCATTCTTATCCTAAACCACTTGTCAGCCCTTATTATTATTATAGAATTTTCATCAGCTTTATAGTTATTTGGTGGAATAATTAACAAAAGATTTTTGGAGAAAAAAATCTAATTTTCTTCATTTTTTTATCTTTCCAGATTCACCCAAGTGGTTGGATAATTGAGCCAATAGTTAAAGATAATAAGTTGTGTTCTCTGGTAACATATATTATGCAGGTAAGTTTTGATTTTCATTTGTTTTTACAGATATTGTAGATATTTCTTGAAGATAAAAAAAATATTTTCCCTACCAATATTTTTTTAAATTTTTTAATACTAAATGTTTGCCCAATACAAGGCCTATGAGCTGAAGGTAAAGGGTTACTAAATGAGGTTGTTATATGTACATAAGAGGAGGAAGTAAGTGCAGATTATAAGGATATGTAGGATAGATAATGGTTGACCATAGACTTGAAAAATTAAGATTGTTATGATCAGGGAACCCATCTAGTTAATCAGTCTTAGTTATAAACAATAAATAGTGTTAAAGTTTGTTGAATTTGTGTTATTGATGATTCACCAGTTGAAGGAAAACAGTGAGGCTGGGTATGTCTCATCTGCTGTAAGTGGGGTAGAAATAAGAGGAAAGCAAATAACTAGAGTTAGTAAATATTTATTATAAAACAACAATAGTGACTCAGCAAAGTTAACAAAATCATTTAGTCACAATCCATGTAATCAATCCACTTATGAAAATAATAGAAAAAAAAATTATATTAGTTCAAAATGCTGACTATTTGCTCTGGTACACTTAACTTCTTTCACAGCCCTCTTATGGGTTAAATATAGGTACCTCCACTTTTTTGCATGAAAAAATTTCCAGATCAATATGTTAATTTTGTTTCTTATCTATCTTTATTTTAATTTCATCTGTTAAATTTTAAAATTAATTTAAGAAAATTTTAATTTAGTACTTTAATTTTTTAAAAATTTTCATAAGGCATCTTCAGACATAACTAAAAGTCAGTAAAATATTAGATAATTGCTGAAAATATGTTAATTTGTAAAAATTACTAGGTGTTTAAGAATGAAAAATGCATTCACTTAGATTTCATAAATTTATGTCAATTCTGGTCATCCATACTAGCTGTTATCACCTCAGAACATATCTATACATCAATAAAGATCAAAGAAGATCAGGACCTGTTGTTAAATGCTTGTATATTACTTTTTTATGCTATAAGTAATATTTATTTCAAATCAAATTACTTTAACTTTAAATTTGCTAATTTGACTCAAATAATGTGTTACAAATATATATTTTATTTTTAGAAGATTTTTAAACTGATAAATTTGTTTTGTTTACAAATTTTTTTAAATTAAGAAAATGGCTGCTTTTAAGAAAATTTTCTTAAATCGGCTAAAAAATTGAAATTCTGATCTATATAATTTTTATTTGAAATACATCAGAATATTTTACTTACTGGAAATAGTAAATTTAATCATTTAGCTTTCAGTTAAAGCTAAAATGAAATCTTCAAGAATGCTTTTTAATTCTTTAAAATTCATTTTAAATCTTTGCTATCGAAAATTTATGCTGAATTAGTGAAAGTACCTAGTTAAATACAAGGTCTGTGCAGGTTCTGGAAACCTTGAAATATCCTGGAAAATTGACAGGACCTTTTCCCATAGCTTGAAAAGTCCTGGAATTTTCTAAATTGGGATACTCACACATCCTTTTTTTCAATTCAGGAAAATCAAAATGGCAAATCCCCCAAAACCTGTTTTTTTTTTTTTTTTTTTTTTTTTTTTACAAGGTAAAATTGCCCTTTAAGAGCAGTGTTTTTTAGTCATCAGTAATATTTGCCAATTATTGTGAACAGAGATTTGTTTCCTTGATTAGGATGAGTTCATGGCCTCATAGTTACTTCTGTATTTTCTGGCCTAGGTGACGAGAAAGAAAGGGAAAAAGAACATGAAGGCATGTTTACTAGCTGCTACCCTCACTCAACAAGAAAAGAGGAAAACAAATATAAAAGGTGTCAGAGATGAATAAACATTTCTGTCAAAGACAAATTCACACTCCTTGAATTTGTAGTTGAGAGGAAAATAAATTATTTTACAGTAATAAAATAGATTTTAGTAGAATCTTGAAAAATTTCTCAGTTTTTAAAAATTTGAACAATTGAAGAAATGTTATTCCCATGTCAATTTCAAATGTAAAAAAAATTTCTCTTGATCTCTAGTCAGTGGATGGGTGAGTTCATGCTGAAAAAATTGATACTTTACATATTCCCTCCATCCCGTAACACTGTGTATCTGTGTATAAACTACATTTAAATTGTTGCCAAAATAACAAGTTTGAGAATCAAATTTGAAAATGTAGCTGGGAAAGGATGATAGACAAAAATCTGTTTTTTGATGTGTCTTAGGATAGAAAATGTGTCTTTGAGAAAAGTAAGAATGTTATTTTTAAAGTTTGCAGGTTAATAATGACATGTATATCTAGTTTTTGTTTTAAGTTTAAAAAAATGAAATATATTAAAAACTTATTTGGCTTTTATTGATTGGTTTTCTATTAAAAGTTCAATCTGACAACCCTATCCCCTTTAATTCTGCCATAATTTACGCACATGTGAACAACTCCTAGACATTTGTCCCGATGTCATCAATTTTGTGAACTTAATTAAAAAAAAAAAAAAAATGTCCCCAGACCAAGTCCTTCTCTGCAGTGCTGTCAAATGTGAAAGATGTTTTATTTTCAGTGAAACTGCAGATTTTTGTGTCTGTTTCAAAGGATCTTGAACCGTTTCTGATAAAATATCAAAGCGATAAACTGTTGCTTCCTTTCCTTGCAGATGATTTTTTTAGCATGATCATTAAACTGTTAAGATTTGTAAAAGAAGATCATACTAAAATGCTAATTACATTTTCTAAACTGAATGAATTTGTAAGAATGTTGTCAAACCAAAACATGCATATAGATGCTGCAAAGATCAAGTGTGGATTTCTGGCAGATAGGGCTAGATAAAATTTATCCAAAATAAGGAAATCGGTCAACATAAGATCTGTTTGCATGCAAAATTGTAACAATGCTCACCACCATCATTGAGAAACTTCTGGCAAAGTCTCCTCTTAGATACCCCCTTGTAAAATCACTTGTATGGATGAACCCTGGATCCATTTGTGAAAACAAATGTCACAGGAGACAGACTAAAAAGATATCTTTCCCACAAGATAGATAGTAAACAAGTCAGCAAGTCTGATTGTGATGACATCATCAGTCAGTACAAAGAGTTTGAGGAGGAAGCTGCTGGAAATATTGCCTTCAAGAATTTCATCAAGCATGAAGACAGTCTGAACACTTAGTTCTACTCTTCTTTGTCGAGCAACAAAGAATATCTAAGACTGTTGTTTGTAGATTGCTGGTACTCTCTCATGGACAAGCCTTAGAGTAGAGTGGTTTCTAAGTTGATAAAGAAATTTCCACTGAGAATATGAAACAGCAGACTCTGGTTGCACAGTGCATTATCACAGGCTATTTAATCACAGTTGGAGGTGCTTGGAATGTTCCTATGACTAAGGCTCTTCTCTGCAGTGCTTCCAATGCATACAATCAATACTTTGAGGCTGAGAAGAAAAACAGGCAGGAAGAAGCTGCTGAACAAAAACATAAATCTATGTTTATGGAAATTGAAAAACAGAAGATCTAAAAACACAAGCTTGAAAGTTGCACACAAGATTTGCTCAAGTCAGCTGACAGCTATGCATAGAAAGGTGAGCAGACTCAGAACTTCACACTTATTGCAAAGTCCAATGCCATGCAAAGATCTGCAAAGAACAAGTCTATAGAGATATCAAAATTGGAAGAGGAGCTGAATGCTAAACTAAATGAAAAAATGTTATCATTGTGTTCTGTGCCATGTACAATGAAAACCATGAGTAGTAGGGGTAGTCTTTTTGGGAGAATTTCTATTTGTAGTTCTGTTTTAAAACCATTATACTTTAACTTCCCAGGAAATGTGCAGTAGTCAAACATTTTTGTGACATTCACAAACCATGAGTAGTCTTGATAGATGAAATGTGTAATTAAAAATTTTCAAATGTAGTAGAATTCAAAACTGTGTAGAATGCTACACAAAATCTAGCAACAAGGTCAGCATTCAATTATGTTTCAGCCTTCAACTCTTTGATTTCTTCACTATTTTCAACTGATCCATGTGACATGAATTATTGGAACCAGTTGTAGCTTTTCTTTGAATATCTCATCTGTCAACCTATTAAAAGATAAATCACAAAGTTTGTGTTTTAGAAATTGATGACCATTCACTTTGTATTTGTGCACATATGCAAGTTGTAGTCCTTGAAACCTAATTCTGGAATTTTTGTTTACACAAATCTCTGGGAACCCTGTAAATAACATGGTAGTCTGTTTACCAACCAGTCTAAGAGAAGACAACTGTGGATTTAAACTGTGGAGAAGGCAACAGGAAGCTGCATCACTATATTTCCCAAGAACAGTAATGGCAACAAGCAATTTACACATTAAAAACAGTGGGGAACTTTGTCCATTCAGGCCATAACAATCAAAGTACTTAAGTGGATTATACAGTCTAATATGAAATAAAAATGTAGTATAAAATATATTTTGTATCATTTATTATTTACTCCTACATTAATTCTCCTCTATCCTTTATAACTGTAACTATCAAATAACATTATTAATGAAACAGTTATAAATTTCTTTTGATTGTTTATTTGAAGCAAGAGATTTTTTTTTCAATTTATTTATATTTTTTTTTTTTTTTTTTTTGTATATTCACTTTTAGATTTATAATATGTAATTTATTTTTTAGATGGATTTTGGGCCACCAAAGAGTGCTACTGAGAAATACCCATTTGAAGAATTAGTTGCTCGCCAACCACTCAGTATTGCTGATTTAAGACGTTACCTCCGCTCAGTTGTAGTGTGGGCCAGACGTCACTCCACTCCTGCTCGCAGCTGAGACTTCTAATAGTTAACTCCCCTTTAACTTTTAAGTCACTTGCCGTTGCAGACTTGGACTGCAATTCACTTCAACTACAAAATGTGTCGCCTTCAGATGATCAGCCAATACCTTAAAACAGTGCCTGCAACTTCTCAACATCACTTTCATATTTTTTTTATTTCTTTTCTCTCCCCTCCCTTTTCCTGGGTTTATTTTGATACTTTCCCCAATTTACTGATAAAATAAAGTTTGGGTGTATTTTTTGGGATGTTCTGATTTATTTTTGACTTTCTTTTTCCTGAAGAGAAAGAGAAAAAAAGTGACATTTAAAAATTTAATATGGGATGAGTCAAAAGTTATAGCAATGAATTAAGTGTAAATTTCATGTGAAACTCTTGAAATAGATTAGCATAGAGCTTGTGTTAACTTTTTAACTGCAGATGATGTGAATTTCAATTATTGCTTAACTTAGTCTTGCCCTCTCTCACACTCACATTAATATGAATGATAAAAATTCCTATTTACCACAGTTACTGTCACATTTACAAAACAGCAGTTGAGTTCCTTCTACCATAATGAATGTGTTAATGGAATGTTGTATTTTCAAAATATTTTATTTCAGAGTTTATTATGTAGTCTAAAAATTGCTGATTATCATTATTATTTTTCATTTCAAAATAATAAAATTCTGGTTAGTATGCATAGAAACTCATATAATACTGCTGCAAGGTAACTTGGCATTAACCAGGAAAATAACTTATTGTTATCAATTAAATTTTACATTTTAGAATTATTGGGACATTGATTCCCCTCTTAAAGAATATTTAATAGAATTAAATAATTTTAGATAAATTTAAATTAAGTGACTTATTCAGTTAATAGCAAAAATTATATCAGTTTTTTTTTCTCCAAAAATTATTAATGATTGGTTAAATTCTTCAAAACAGATATTGGAGACATGACCAACATTCTTGAAAATGTTAACATTTGTTAAGTCTAATTTTAAAATAAAAAAATACCTTTGCATTAAACTTAATATCTTTAAGGTTTTATTAAAGTTAATAAACTTTAGTAAAACTGATAAAATTTAACTTCTAAACCTGAAGACTTAATGGTTGACACATTGACTCTAATATAATGGTCAAATCATAAAGGTTTTTAAAGTTTTCTAATCATTTTGCTTAATAGTGGGGGTGTCAGAAATAGTTTAATTCCTTTATTAAATGAAAAATACATTTTTTTTTATTTTAAGAATAGGATTTGAGTTATCAAAAGATACATGAAAGATTTGGAATATTGATGCATTTAGATTAGTCTTACAAAAAATCTGGTAACTTTTGACTCATCTTGTATACCTTTCATTTTCATTCTCTTTTCTTTCATTTTTTTTTTGTTTATTTTTCTTTTTTTTGTTTGTCATTTTAATGGGCATTTGCAGATCACTGTTGTAATTTTTTAAAGAGCACAAACCTTTCTTGAACTGAGACTGAGAGGCCTCAGTAAATCCCTGTTTTTAGGGGCCTTATCTGAACTGAATATAGAGTGCTTGTTAGTCATTCATTATGTCACCTGTTTTCTGAATTTGGCAAGAAACAAAAAGTTTGAAATTGATAAGATTAAATCTCACTTTATTGGATTAAAAAAAGCATTGAACCAAAAGAGGCAAATGCTAAAATGTCTGGATTTTCAGTTGACTAAACTGTTGTAAATCTAAGGTTTTATAAAACTAACACAATGTTTCTGACATAAGTGTGGTAAAAGGTTTACAGTAGTCTCCCTGTACCTGCAGGGGATATGTTTTAAGATCCCTCAGTGGTTGCCTGAATCTGGAGAGTGCCACATTCTACACATACATTGTTTTCTCTATATACATAACTATGATAGAGCCTAATTCATAAATTAGGTACAATCAAAGATTAACAATAAATAAAATAGAACAATTATAATAATATATTGTAATAAAAATTATGTAACATTTGTGATTCGGTAGATCTTATTGACTTCAGTATACGATTTTTTTTTTAATAAGTTGATAAATCTAACCTTTTCACTTAAAGGAAGCATTTTATGTTATCTATTTGGCATATCCAAATTGCCAACATCACTAATTTTGCACTTTGGGACGATGACTTGTTTTTTTCTGGGGTCGATCACGGGTATTTGAAGCTTTGGATAAGGGGAGACAACTGTACTTAAATGGTGTTTCTGAGAATTTTGTCAAGTGTTTTTTTTTTTTTGTTTTTTTTTTTTTTTAATCCAATGAAGACCACCATTTTTTAATGTTGAAATATTGTTATTAATCATAATAATAATAATAACAGACATTACAGGGACATAGAGTTGATGGTTATTTACCCATGTTATAGTAGCAATGTGATGCATTAATATTTTTTTTTTTTTTTTAATTTTTCCTTGTGCTTGGTAGAAATATTTTCAAGCCCAGATAAAAGCCAGTACTTTTGAATATCGATTTTCAAATCAGGCATACCCTCCTCACTTGGAAAATTAGTGCAACACATTTTTCCTCCTATTTACCGCCATATAAGCCTTATGTCAGAATAACAAAAATATCAGCACCAGCAGTATAGTGGTCTGCTTGGTGAGTAAGATAGTTGTACATTCCACATTAGTGCCAATGACTTTTTCTTAAATGAGTAAAAGCCATGATTTTGATTGGTGATTTTCAAGGCTGGCATGTAAGTTCTCCTAACATGGGATATTGGTTCAACACAATATTCTTATATTCCTCCTATTTGGCTTCATGCTGGACATACCTAACGTTCGTAAATATTTATTAGTGACAGAAAGCATAAGGATGCAGAACTGAAATTTCATATAGCTTTATTATTACAGATACAAATTTTGGTGGGCTTAGATTTTTAATTTTTTTTTATTTCTAAAATTACTTTTTATCATAATTATTATACCTAAGGGAGGATGGGTTTGTTTATATATATATATATATATATATATATATATATATATATATATATATATATATATGATTTAAATTTTTTTTTTCTTTACCAAGTAATACTGGAATTTGCCTCCCTTCTTCTAATCTGTAATGCTTATTTTCTCTTAAAGCTATTATGAAATGCTAATATAAATTTTTAAACTTGGATATGCCAAGTCTAGCATAAAACCATATTTCTAGACCACTATGAGGTTCAAGCTAAAAAGTGGTATATCTATAAATACATAATGGTTTGTGAGATATGGCCTGTTTAGTGCTTTTGTAGAGTCTTTCACTTAATTACTAAAAAAATTAAATAAACTTAAAAATTGTTTATTCCATAACTGTGACACAGATTCTCATCATGTATAATTAATGGGCTAATTTTTAAATTGACCATATTGTACGATAGGCAATATTTATATGATTTGCTTAAATAATTTCTAAATAGATTAATTTGGGAACCTAATGATTAGCAAACTAGTTTAACACTTTTACTATTTTGTAGTAGGTCAATCAATGTTAGATATATAAAAATTTTAGCCATGTACCAGATTAAGCTTATTACAATTTAATATTTGTGCACTCTTATCTTTTGAACATATTTTCTTGGATTTTTAATTATTTTGTTATTGAAATGAATGAAAGCTTATCTCCATTTTTAGTGGAATTTGTCCATTGGTTGTAAATTTGTATTGGGTGGGATTTTTCTTTCATATTTGAATTGTTACACTTAATTATTCAACCATGTTAGTATTTTTTGTGATAAAGTATCTTCAAAAAGGTATTAATGAATTTCAATGACTTTTTTATGAAAAGATAGGTCAAGGAGGTGGAGTCTGAAAATGGGGGAAATTAAAATTTACACAGCTCTCCTGCATCGTATATAGTTATGAAGTTTATTTTTTTTTTTTATAACTTTGCTTTTTTTTTTTTTTTTATAATTTTTTTTTTTTTTATAGTGATAGTGGCTAAGGCAGATTTTTTTTTTTTTTTTTTTAAAATCTGTGAGATGGTATTGGTCATATCAGAAGCCAAAAATTCTAGCCACACTTAACAAAGATGGTTTGGAATATAGACTTTGCATAACTCTGTATAAATTCTCTTGTTTCATAAAACGAGAAAAATTAAACATTTTTAGCTTAAAAGAAATGGGAACATTTTAAAAATAACTTTTTCAATATATGCACACACAATTTGCTGAATCTTATGTTATTAATTACCTTGTCACTCAAATATTTAATGTTTCTTACCAATTTATATACTTGTAGATTATGTAAGATTTTTCATATTTCACAACTTTATCTATTTAGAAAGAAAAATTGAAGAATACAAGTCTTCCTACATCTTATAACATAGGCACATATTAATAGTAGTTTTATGAGAGAAAAATTCTGTTAACGTCATTTAATGATAAAACCCAACACTAAATTTTTTGATGAGATTGGAATATACTTATGAGGACCAGTAATTAGCCACATACCTTTATGGAATAATGGGATTGAAGAATATAAAAACGTAATTGATCAGAAGAATTTTTTTTTTTTTTTTTTTTTCAAGGAATATTGTTTGTTTTTTCAAGTTCTTGTTTACATTATTTCAAGTTTTCAGACAGTTGCCCTCATCTTGTTTTTTTAACAAAATTTTAGCTTATATAGTCTTTGGTCTTCAGATGATTGCTGTATTGTTTATTTTTCTTACTTTGAAAAAAAAAAAAGTGCAAATGAATTTTGAGTTTTACTATTTTTGTATGCCAGCATGCAAGTAAAGCACAAATTAATAATAATCCATTGCTGTCACTATTAATGCATCCTAATACTAAGGTACATCAATGAGTTTCACCACAAATACAGTTGGCATGAAACACTAATTACAACCCAGTACTATAAAACTTGATACAAAAATATATTTGTATGAATCATGATAAATACAACCTAGTTATTAATTTTTCTGTAATTGTAAAATTGTCATTTTTAGCAAGGCAAATGTGGTATTATTAAAATTATAAATAACTCCAGTTACAAAATTTTCTTTAAAAATTTAAATTATAAATTGACATTGC